AGATACGCTTGAAAGATATTTAGATGGATTTATGCAAGCACTAAGGTTTTATTGTTTTTTTTTTCATTTAAGCATTACATTTTTCTTTTTGGCAATCGGCTCAACTCTTATATATATTATACAGGGGCCATATTATACCAAAACTCGAGAAAAGTGCACATTATGCTGTACATCTATCGAGGCAAAGCTTGATTAGTCACTCACCTAACGGTCTGAATGACTAACCGATTGACTGAATGCTCAAACGAAAATGGGCAAACGAATTTTGAATATTATCGAGGCGCTACCATAAAGGTTAGTAATAGAAGTTTTTTATGGATAAAATGAAAAACGATCAGAATGATTATCTGATGGTAAGCAATTAGCGCCGCCCAGGACACCCACAACAGCGGAGGAGTTAATTAACGTACAAGAACGTTACCGACCTTTTGGAGATTAGGAATTTAGAGATTTACGGATTGGGGAAAGGGAAGAAGGGTTGGGCCTCCGGTAACCTCACTTAAACGGCGACACACAACGCTTAGGTTGTTTCACGCCAGTTTTCTATGAGGCCGTGGCATCACTCCGGTCGAATTAACTCATTCGCGCCTAAGCATGGCTCACCCAGTCTAAGACAGGTTAGAACTGTAATACAAAAATCGAATCGCCATCGGAAATAAACTGTGAGTAGTACCAGAATTCTATTGCGCTATAATCTATTAAAGAGGCTATGCCGATAGAACTTAATAAAGTTCAATTTTGAATGCAAGGGTCGCAGCAACTTCACTCAAAAGCATGAATATCATTAAAAATATTCATTTCCAATAAAATTAACGGGCGATATAACCCTATATCGAAGAAACAAAAGCAGGTGGCCCCACCATAATTGCCTATTAAAGATGGCACTTAAACTCCAAAGGGCTATTCACGTTAGCACAATGAAATAGCAAGAATAGCACAATTAATTTAAAGACAGACCTAAGTCAAATGCAAATCGGTCGTCATACTGTTTATGGTAAAAAGATTACATTGTGCAGTCCGACCAGCTTATCTGAACATCACGCGAACGGAATCACTATTTAATTTATTGGAATAAAACAGATAAATGGTGGTTTGTTTTCCGCGTTCCTCTTTTAGTATGGGAACAATGAGTTTGATTTTCGAAGGACAGTATTATTGTTTTTCTAATATGATTTTTGTTATTTGTTATGTGTGTGTGTTTTTTTTACATAGTGCAATTGATAGTTCTACTATATAAATAAATAAGTGAAGTTTCTATGACACATTAAATTAATCACTCATTCACGTCACTGACGATATGTATGAACTAGTTTTAAGACACAAGCAATGCAAATGCGAGCACATAAAAATCTAGGATATTTTTTAAACTGTTTTAACTATTTTTAGAGTTACATCTGTCTCTATGCTTTGTTACATTAAAATAAATTCAGGTATTTAGGCGTAAAAGAAAAATAAGATTTTTTGAAAATGTATGAGTTCAAAAATTTTCGCAATAAAAACATTATCTGTTCAAAATTTTTTCCTTGTATTGGAAAATAGGCATATGTTTAGTTCTATTAATTATTTCGGATTAATAGCTGAGCATAAATTTCTCATTACAAACTTCTATTAACTCGTAACTGCACTATGATGGCAACAATATCTGTCTAACTTAGGATCACATCACATTCAAATGCACATATTTTTATAAATAATTAGTAATTGTTAGAATCACAACACTAAAGGTAAAGAGACAAAAATCTTTTTTCGGTAACATTAATCAGGCACGATACACAAAAAAATTTTTAGAAATAGAAAGAAGCAAAACAACATTTTCGACATCAATTACAAACTTATTAAAACGTATTTCCACTTTGCGTATGTGTGCAATAAAGTATAGATAAAAAAAAATATGGGCACTATCTTAGTAAACTGTATGGACAACACTATTGAGTGTATTCTATGCTGCATTTTCTTCGTTCCCTTCTCTGGCATCACTAGGGGTCAGATCGATCGAACATCTAACGTGCTCCTGGCTTAACAACTGTTATGGTTGCGTTTTCTTTTTCAAAATTATTAATATAAATATATTTTGCAACTAAAGCTTTTGCTTTCCAAGAGATCCATAGACAGAAATTTCCTGCAATGATTTTGTTAGGGTCAATTGACACTATACCAATCGATGGCAAACAGGCAGACGGATTACCTGATGATAAGCAAGCGGCACCGCTCATGGACATCCGCAACACAAGAGGAGTAAAGATTGTGTTGCCGGCCTTTTTGGGGGTTTGAATTTCGAGAGATTGGGGAGGGATTTTGGGAGGGCAAAAAGGTTTGGGCCTTCAATAACCTCACTTACATGGTGAAACACTGTTCTACGACTGATATTTGCCTGTCCTGATTTAATGCTACATAATTCTGGTCATATTACCTCCATCGAATGTGGAGTAGAAGCCTCTATTTTACGTATGATATATACCGTATCGCGATATCATCGGAATGCACCGTACACTGTTGCTTCAGATTTATTGGCTATGCAGTATTTATCTATTAAAGCAGTAATGGACAGCGTTTGAAATGTTTTAGGTAAATTTTAGTACCTAATGTTTTCGATTATTTATAAAATGATAGGTCTTCTAATTTGGTCTTTTTTGGGAATGATATCGTCGATTCCTCTATAAGAGGATTTGTATTATCGATTTGTAGTATTCGATAAATTGTGAAGGACCACACAAAAGTGATAAGGATTTGAATGTTATGCTCAATTTCCGCCTTATATGTTATCAGTCATATGTAATAGGGGAAAATGCAATTGCTATAAACACATAATATTTCTCAATTACAGGATGGTGCAACTGACAAATGATTAAAAAACTTAACAAAAACAAAACAATTAACCCGAAACTCTTGCTTGGTAGTTGAACTTCAATCAAGTCAAATCAAAGGAATGATACCACGGCCTCTCAGAAGACCGGCGTGAAACAACCACAGCGTTGTGTTTCGCCGTGTGAGTGGGGTTACCGAAGGCCCAATCCTTCCCCGCCCCCAATCCCTAAATCTCCAAATCCCTAATCCCTAAAAGGTCGGCAACGCACTCGTAACTCCTCCGTTGCGGGTGTCCATTGGCGGTGCTGATTGCTTACCATCAGGTAATCCGTCTGCTCGTTTGCCGATCATTAAATAAAAAAAAATCAACAATGCAGTGAGTCCTAACCTGCAAAACGTACGTAATATTTTGAACTGTTTTTCCACACACAAGTGGGAACAGGAATGCAGCAAACGCCTTCCGCGTGAGACGAGCCGACCACACACCGAATAAGGGAAATAAAGAACCAGACACATCTTTAAACAAAGATATTGATGCTCTAGATGCGACAAGGAAATCCAAAGAGTTTACCTACCTACATTAAATTTGGAGTTTTCGATAAAAAAAACCAAAATCAACCAATTATAATTATTTATCGGTGTATTTTATTAAATACTTTAGAATTTGGAAATCAATAACACTACATAGTATAAAACAAAGACGCTTTCTCTGTCCCTATATCCCTATGTATCTATGCTTTAATCTTTAAAACTACGCAACTGATATTGATGTGTTTTTTTTAGATAGAGTGATTAAAGAGTAAAGTTTATATGTATAATAGCATCTATTAACAAGTGGAGAAATTTTGTATCATCATTGCCCCGTGCTAAACCGGGACGGGTCGCTAGTCTATATACTACAATATATAATATTATAAAGCTGTAGAGTTTGTTTGTTTGTTTGAACGGGCTAATCTCCGGAACTCCTGTTTCGAATTGAACAAAGTTCTTTTTCTTTTTCTTAGTCCATTTATCGAGGAAGGCTTTAAAACAGCACACTATGATATGTAGGAGTCAAGCAGAAATAGTAGCTAGTGTGTAATAAATACTTTCAACATCTTCGACCAAAGCACACGAGCAATGTATGGTCTCATTTAACACAAAGCTGATTTTGCCATAAACTTTACACACCAACCTCTTAAAACTCCTTCACAAATCTAACTACATGTCTCTGATCAAACAAGCAAATATAAATTCTAAGAACATCTAGAATCTTAACATCTTCGCAATCTGTTTTTAACCCTACAAACGCGAACGCATAAATTTTGAGCCCGGAGATAAGCGAGTCCTATTCAATATTCAAATATTTATTCATTTTCCTCGGTTTACATGATCAGCGAGTACCGACGATTTGCTTAACAGGATTAGTTTAACTTATCCTGCTTATGCCAATGAGAGCAATCGGGTTTAAGCCTGGGTGGCCACCTAACTTACATTACTTTATTGACTTTTACGAAACAATCCAGTTTTGTAATGGTTCCTTCACTTAGATATCAAAATAATTTACATTTGTATTTGTAAATTCTGATTGAATCGTTATAAATTAAGGCTTGCCAACAACTTGTTATCGGTTCGAGCTAAACTTAGCTTGTAGTTGCTTGCATTTGAGATCACTGTCGTTGAATAGTAAATGTGACAATTGTGTCATTTCACAAAATTATGATGTGAATTACACACAAACTACTACAACCTTTGGCTACTGCATACTAAATTACGATTCTTGAAAATGATTATTAATCTTTCTCACGTGAATTTATCGAGAAACACTCTACGAATTTCAAGTAACAACGGGACTCTTATTTATAAGTAGGGTGCGCGTCGCGGTTCTGTGACTTTAAACTAGTAGAGCTTTTCTCAGTTAATTCACGTGAATAAGTCATTATCCAAACTAATATTATAAATGCAAAAGTAACTCCGTCTGTCTGTCTGCCTGTCTTTTCTTCACGCCTAAACTACTGAACTTATTTGTCTAAAATTTGGTACAGACATAGTTTGGAACTCGAGAACATATGATTTTTAAACCAAAAATCTGCAGGAAGCCACTATACCACGCGGACAAAGTTGCTTCCAAAAGCTAGTTTTCAATAAATTTACCTACAATATCTCACAAGGGTTACTAACTATTCAATAATTACTTTTCTCTTTTTCCTCCACAGGGTTCCGTGAAACATCGTTTCTCTACGCACTTACAGCGGCAGGAGTGGCCCACTCCATCGCTCGGGCTTGCGCTCAAGGTCGTCTAATATCTTGCGGCTGCGATCCTTTGGGATACCGGGCCTCACACGACCCCCGTGGCAGAGCGAAGGTTAACAAATGGGAATGGAGTGGGTGTTCACATAACCTGGCTTATGGCATCGAGTTCTCCAAGAAGTTCCTTGATATACGGGAGCAGGTGGATGATCTGCAGTCCAAGATCAACGTCCATAACAACAATGCAGGGAGATCGGTGAGTTTTTTTATGTGTTTTAGCAGTTTTACTTTCACAGATTTTACGTTAAAATATAAATAAAATGATTTTGGGTTGAATTACACTGTTTGTCTCAAACTTAGTGATATTTTTCTAACCATTTAAAAGTCAGCACTTTGCAACAGGCGAGCTCCAACGCCCTGTTAATGTAAACATCTTTACATTAACTTAGCTTTCCACTAAGCGAAAAAATACTTAGTAGACTCCAACCTCTGTAAGCATAAAAAGCCACACAAAATCACCCAATAATGTTCCTTTTTTCAGTAACAATTCTAATACCACAATAAAACAAAAAGTATCGCAAATACTTTTAAAAACTTCAGATCAATATCACTTGGGCAAAACCTGCACAACTAACAACTACTATAGAATAAAACGTTAAATAAATATGAAATGAAAATGCATACGCGTGCAAGAATGAGCCTCTCCAATTAACTTTGATGTCATATTCAAGAGAGAAATGTGAGAACTCAAAAGACACCGCTATGACACAATGACACTTCAATTTACTTCGTTAGGCAGCCCTATGTCTGTTAGTTAGATGCTAGGGTGAATTACAAATAAGATATTAGTGAAGCACAAAGTTATTGCGATATAGCGATAGATATTAATTAAAGTAGATTTGATTGATAAAGTTTCAAATATCCTTTGTTATTCACTTATGTAAAACTTGGAATAAGTATGTACCCAGACTCTTAAAATAATTAGTTCAAATTGGCGGAAACAAAAGTATTTGACATATAATAAGTAGGAGAGCCATGCTTTGGCACAAATAGGTCGGCTCGACCGGAGTTATACCACGGCCTCACAGAAATCGGCGTGAAACAACCAGGGCGTTGTTTCGCTGTGTGATTGAAGTGACAGGAATCCCAATCCTTCTCCAACCCCTAAATCTCCAAAAGCTTAATTCCTGAAAGGTCGGCAGCGTACTGTCAAATCTTTTGTTGTTGCGGGTGTCCATGGGCGGCGCTGATTGCTTACCCAAGTAACCCATCTACTAGCTTACATAAAAAAAATGAAGTTTACTTTTTTATATCACACAGTGTTAAAAATATTATAATAGGCACCCACTTTGCATCAGTTTATTGAACCACTGCATGAACCCCTAAATCTAACATATTGCTATAACGCAATAGACATAAAAAATATATTTAAATCCATCCTCATTTCTACCGATAGAGTTTCCCATTCCAAAATCTTTGAAAACCCTTAAAATATCTCAATTATTGAAATAAACTGGCCATTACTACACTCAAGAATGCGACCTGTAATTTAGTGACGCGACAACCTCAAATTAGCCTCCGAGGTAACCTCCAATTTTCAATTCGTTTTGAATAGGAATATCGATGAAGTTATTATTCGAATAATCGATTATTTCAACTTACCGATTAATTTAGTTGACGGTCTATTAAGTTAGATTAATCAAATCTTCGTCATGGATGGAATATATTGACAATATGATAACTTTATTGGGCAAAGGTTACTCAATTACTAGCACTGCGCACAACAGATAGACATCCCCTTTTTAAATAAAAAGACGATAGGATTAGCATCGCCACCATTACAAAAAGAGATACCCTTGCTTATTACTAGTCAGTAAAAAAAGTTTCATATCAACATGAAAATCGAGCTATCACCAGATGCAAATTTTATAAGAAATGATGAAATGTAATAGCAACTTCTTAACATAAAAAAGAAAGAATAAAAGAAAAGAAACAGTTAAAAAAAATAAAAAGAAATCGACCAAAACCTGCTAAAAAAAATCGAAACGACACATCACTAGCACCCCTACAGCGAAATTACGTAGGTGTACAGATTATAAGGGAAAACACGTAAAAATAACACCCAATTTATTCATGTCAATTTGGTCTCAGAATGGGTGAGGTTTTAATAATATAATGACTCACGTGTGTGGTCCATTCGTTTAAGAAAACGGTTGAAATGTCGACGATGTTATTAGTCGAATTACTATTGTGTCAGGGTTGCGGTTAGTCGATTTTAAGATGGAGAGGAATTTGTTTTTTTTATTCTAATTATGGTGTTTTAATTGATACCGATACAGAGAACCAATATTGTTATAAAAAATAATTTATCCTGAACTTAAATCTACTCAATGAATATTTATTTGCAGTTGTTATTGAGTTAAGTCGATGTAAAGAATGAATATGTTTGAGTTTCATTCAAAAGCACCAATGCACTGCCCTATGTCTTTTCATCAATATTTATAAAACTACAATTAAATATTCGTGCATGTATGTACACACAAATAATCTATAATATACTATAATTCAACGAAAAAGAAATTCCTACAAAAACTGAATAATCGACTAAAACCCATCACTCAATCCGAATACACAGGTACTCAAATAGAAACCGATTGCACTCTTAATATGATCGTAGGTGTCTTAATTAGAGAGCTAAGGCGTCAAGGCAACACAAGCTTATTTCTCCAAAATTGTAGTGATGTAAAAGAGGCGTGGCTTTAGTAAATCGACTACGTGGGTGGTCGCCGGTGATGGCGGTACATGCCTATAAAATATGGTATTATATAGCATTGGCCGATCGTTTTGTGTGATCACACCCCGTTTTATGTGCTATAAACTTTGTCATATACGGTATTATGTTTATACCTACATGCGGATTTTTTATATTATTTTTATAGTTCGCCATGTGTTCGGTTGGTTGAAGAATCGAGTTATTTAATATCTCGCTTATATTTTAATTTCTTGTCATTAATACTTTCATAAAATGTTCCGTTTTCGAGGTATAGTAGAAATGACAAACGTGACTGACAAATAAGTAATTGGTACCTAAAGCATATTTTACGTTTTCTAAACACCCGCGAGGAATTTCAAGCTCCAAATTTAGCAATTATACTAAGCATGGTTTCAAATTTGAAACAATTAGTAACTGATAAGAAAAACATACCTATAGTAAAAGTACTACCGATAATACCAATATCAAAGAGGATCCATCTATCATTTATTTTTCCACCCGCGTCAACCGTGTCTAGATTACATACATTCCGATACATCGTATCTCCTTTCTGAGTATCATTATAATTTGCTCACTGACACCTAAACATGCCGTAAGCCCTGATTTGTGGCCACCAACTAATGCTACAAGCATTCTGACAACAGTGCCCGACAGTTGAACCAAAATATCGGGACCTACCATGCAGGATTACTACAAATAATTTAATAGGCCCCTTCCGTCTAATAATAAACATGTCAAACCAAAGTTAAATACTGCTCGACAAACTCACTTTTACACACGGAATTACATCAATTAACACGATTTTCTACCTTAAGTCTAACACAACAAGATTGGTGTTAGATTTGACCGATGACAATGTTAATTTGGTTAATAATATTATATTAATGCCCGTAACCAAATCTGACATGAGACCGGCACACCACGAGCCGAGCTTACTTATTAAGGGGATTTACGATTTAATACAATTTACGTCCGTACTATCGTTTTTTTAATACAAACACGATGCTTAGGTACAAATTATTTAATTTGTAATGCGTTTCTAGATGTTAATTATTGAGGAGACGGCCATTTAATTTATTTCGGACCCACCTGAGTCTAGTGACATTTATATCGAAATAATAGGGCTGTATATACAGCTGTAGTGTTCTTAATTTATGCCCGCTGACAAAGAATAGTGTTGTTAATCAGTTCTGATCTTTATGAACAATGAAACATAAAAAGTAGGTTACCTATTATGGAAGTTGTGTCTGACATAAATATTCCAGGTAGTGTGTAAACTGTCGGTATTCACTTTGATGGGAAAAAATATGAAATTTCTGTAACCTATATTGTAGATCCATATTGGATAGATTTGACCTTATTTTGCAAGGCAGTCACGAGCCACTTATAATTTGACTAGGCTAGGCTACGGGTCACAGTACAACTTATCGCAAGTTCGATCCCCTCACGGAACAACTCCTTGTGTGATCCACAACTTGTTGTTCCGGGTCTTAGTGTGATGGTGTGTTTAAAATTTCACATGCACCACGGCACAGGAGAAAACCCTAATTTAGTAGCCGTTGTTTTTGTCTAGTAAATTTATAGGTACCCAGTATCAGGCCAATTTTCGCAACTAGGGGAAACTTATTATCATCATAAGAGTCCAAAATTGGGGTGTGGGCTTCAACCTTAAGAAGGTGAAGGAAAATATCGTGAGTAAATCATTTCTTATTATAAGTTTGAAATCACCAAGCCTCTGCATTAAGCGTGGTGATTAATGCAATGAAATCTTCTCCGTGTAAGAAGAGGTTTTTTTTTGCTCAGCAGTGGGCACTTATAGGCTGATGATGTGTGCTACCATAAGCTCTTCGAAAATACGAAAAATGCCTGTAAAATGTCCCTGAAAATCCAAGAGTCGAAACCTAAACTCAGATCAGTAAATCAGTTTAGTAAAACCATAGAAAAACACAATTTCCCTAGACGAGATGAGCCACGCTACTTAATGTAGTAATTAAAAATAATTTACAACTAAACACAGTGCTTTGACGTTTACGATGATTTGATCGGATGGTCTTTAAATAAAATTACTACTTACAATGTTGCCATTACTAAAATCTACTGCCAACAACAACTCGTTAAAATATTAAACACCGTAGAATTAATTTTTATAGACGCAATATGTTCTTCTCTAATTAAAATTTCATTGTTTACTAAGTAGTTTCCATGTAATTATAATTTCATGGGCATTATATTTCATAATTTTATGGAAAATAATTCATTATTTATTATAAATTGTGTTCATAAAATTTGATATTAAACGAGCTAGAATGCTAATTTAATTTTGATTATATTTTTAAACAGCTTTTATTATGTGGCTGTGTGTGTGTGTGTGTGTATTCATGAGATACAGATTCTGAATAGTTACCACACGATATAGAAAACATTGCTTCATTAAAAATATGAAATAAAGGCATTACTCTTAGGTAATAACTTTTTACAGTGTTTTCGAAAAAACTGAATGAAAGATTTCGTCAAAAAATATTGTTGGATCGACTGCAAAAAGAAACTTACAAAAGGAAAAAATTGACTGCAAAAGAAAATTAAAAAAATACGAAATTACAAAATTTAATTCAAACAAAATAAACCGTCTCATAAAAATACAAACACTAGACAAACAAAATATTTCGCACCAAATTCTTAACGTCACTGTAACTCCCATGAAAAACTAGAGAAACATACCAATCCAAAGAAAACCCCATCAATTGCAAAGATCACAGTAAACTCACCCACTTTTTGTTCATATACATCAAATATTTAATATTACATATTACGCATCAAGCCGTGAAGGTAAATTGACCCATTAATGTGAGAGCGAGGCCGGTGGTCCGACCACACTTGACCATTGTTCGGGAGGGTACCGACATTTTGTTTTGTGGCCACATAATTAACAGCCTCCCAGAGAGATCTGTTAGACACGCTCGCTTATAATAACCCCTGCGATGATATTTTTATTAATGTCAAAATAAAGTCGGATCCACTCACACCGTACCGTAACAGGTGGCGTGATCAGATGGCCCACTTTATCGTCCACCTGGAACGTTTTATCGTCAAGATTAATCATCAAAAACCACTCGATAAATTGCTTGTCTTTTTTAGCACACGCACGTTCGTAAGGTAATTTAAATCAAGTATATCTATCGTTGTTTTATAAATCACTTGTATTGTGTACAGAAAATTATCATAATTTATGAATAGGAGTTAATCTTTGCAAGCTTTGTATCGTTTACAGATAATCCATAGAAGGTAATCGGTTCTGGTAATTTAGATTAAGTGCTATTCGATTGCAATGCAACTCGGTATGCGCCAAGCGATTGAATTAATGTTATTTGTTTATGTGAAGTGGGGGAACCGAGCAAGCAAGGAGTAAATAACATTAAAATATTTAGAGAATGTATTGACGAGTTTGAATCTATATTGGTTGAAGAAAAACTGGAACAAATAGTTACGATCACACCTAAACCGAAAATTCATTGAGATTGTAAAAAAATACAGAATGGTGTAAGAGACGGTCTCCAAGGCTCAGCCCAGCGGGATCTATAAAAGATCTCGGGTCGACCCACACAAGAAATTAGGTACCACATTAGAGAGCCGAGGTGATAATTATGTTATAAAAAATCTATACATACACACGAAGAGTTAATATTTCGTTGTTTCGAGGACTGAAATATCGATTTAAAGATTGTTTTGTTTAGTTTTTTTTTCGAACGTTATTATGGAAGATGAATTGGAATTGACGTGTTTTGTAATCATTGTTTGAATTTGAATTAATATTCTTTTTTTTTTTGGGGTTCTCGTGTTATAATTATTAAGATCTGAATGAGCGAAAACCGTTGTTGGTGGATTAGTTTTATTTAAATGTATGTCAGTTATCAAAATTGTACCTATTAGTTAGAAACACTGTTAAAACATTTGTTTGTGATATTGTACATGTTTCAAATTCCAGCTTAAATGTGTTTATAATCGTCATTTACATTGTTTGACCTATTCAATTATTTTACCATTTTTCCTATCTATTATTTTCTCCTCTGATTTTTCTTTCTTATATCAGTTATTCAGCATTTCAATCTATTAATCTTAGAACATAATTTTCATATTTTTTTATAACAAAACTAGCCTCTAACTATATTATTTGCCGATTGCTATAAATACAAACTCCTTTTCAGCAGTGCAAACATGTATTTCGGAGATTTCAAAGTAAAATTAATATATGTACATTTGTAACAATTCGTTTAAATCAAACTAGAGAACAACCAAATAAATACAACCTCTATTTTAAACAAGTTTAAGCTATTCCGTAACAAAATTCCCGTTTTATTTTGTTAGGGTTATCTCAAAAAAAAGTGACGAAACGTTCGTAAAGTTCTGAAATTCAGAACATAGCTAATTTAGACGACCTTATCATGTTTACATCACGCTATCAGAAAACATGCATGACCCTAGCAAAAGTTAAAAGACGTAATTAAAATTAAACTTCAATGTGTACCAAATATTGTCTTCCAACTTTCTTGACAACCCTATCTACGCGACGTTAGAACTGCCTTCTCCGTGTGCGGTTTAACTAATGGTTAATTTGCCCGTCAGATTAACCACGGTCATCTTAAACCTATTAGCGTTGGACTGTTAATCGGCAGTGATATTATGTTGTGATTCACATTTCACAATGTTAACCAAATGTCCGCTTGTTTGTTTATCTATAAGCTGTTTTACATGTAGACTAGAACCTCTATTAGGCACACGTCATTATTTTTATTTTAAACGTTAAATATTGACGAGAAGAAATCTTACTTATTATGAAATATGAAAATTAATGGATATACACATAAAATACTGTGGCAATATCCAAACAATAGCGAAAGTAACTCGGTCTGTCTGTCTGTCTTTTCTTCACGCCTAAACTGAACCGATTTCTGTGAAATTTGGCACAGGCATAGTTTGGAACTCGAGAAAGGACGTAGAATAGTTTTTATACCAAAAATCTGCAGAAAGTCACTATTCCACGCGAACAAAGTCGCGAGCAAAAGTTAGTTGACAAATATATTGTTGAAAAATGTGGTCACGACATCAGCCTATAAGTGCCCACTGCTGAGCAAAGGCTCCTTCTCGAAAGGAAAAAAATTGAGCATTAATCACCAAGCTTGCTCTTAGCGCATTGGCGATTTCAAACTAATAATTAGAAATTATAAGTTCAGGTTTCCCCACGATGTTTTCCTTCACCGTTTGTCAATGGTGTCTAAATAATCATAGAAAGTACATATAACTCGGAAAAAGTCACTTTAGTACTTGCCAGGTTTCGATCCGGCACCCTCATGCATTAGAAGTGTGCGGTCTTAACCTGCGGCCCACCACGTCGTTTAAAAATATGGTCTAAGCTAAAAAATCAGAGAAGGCGTAGTCATAAAATCAAATTCAAAAAGATCGCCAGAAGACTAACCCATAAAATTTCCAATACACTAATTATTATTTCAAAAGTATCAAAACAAACGTTAATGAGCCATTTCTCAACAGCAACACAAGCAGCACATAAATAAACTATAATATTTTAACAGCACTTTAATGATAACACGTTTAGTCTGCACTCAGCCACTCAAGGGCCCAGACGTCATTAAGTAAATAAATCAAGTATAGTGCTTAAACGTAATTTAGATTGATGATAGGTACCCGATGATTGAGTCCTTCGAAGCTTCTAGTGTTTAATTAAAAACGGTGAACTTCTCATAAACGTTGTTTATTTTTAGCACTTAAATTAAATGATTTATTCCCAACGCATGTACGTAAGTGGGTAAGCATATGATTAAAATCGTTCTCATGATGGTCCCCTTCGACTTTGCTGAATGATTTAATCAAACGTACTATTTCTGTTGGATCTCGTTTAGATTAATGCCTAGGCAAGGATTGAAATGAAATATTGATAGTCGACTTACGTTTATTTTAATTAAATTATTTTTGCAGATGCAAATATCTATATATAGGAGTGGTATTAAAATTCCGGAACGGTATCGTAATATTGTATTAGGCATTAAAGAACAGGTTCAGAAGAATCAAACATTAAGATTCCTCATCACGTTTCAAGCCATGATCAAGTGCTATAAAAGTGAATTGAGCCGTGTTGCATATAGCGCCACAATTAGGAACTATGGTAGTGGCGGAGGCTGTAGAGGCCTCGGGCTCCGCATTAGCCGACCGTATTTCACGAGCCGCCCCGTCGAGGTGAGAACATAATAAGCAGTTCGGAACCATTTTTAATATTCCGGCTTCATTACAACGTATTACAAACGTCTTGGGTGGTGAATTCTATCGCGAACGCTCTTAATACTACGCTATTAAGGTCCGCGGCTCGAAGGGGCGTGAAGGATGCCGATTTATTTGAATTTTTGCTCCGACTCAATTTAGGAAATTGTTCGGCCGGCGGCTCTGGCGAAATTAAGACGTCAGTTTGATTGCAGTAAGGCGTTTAATTATGTAAATGTTGAGCTAGTGGTGGGTGGCACAATCAGCGTGGAGTGTCGATGCAGCGGTCACGTATGGAGACAACGGATTTACGATTGGACGCGTTGGGAGACCAACTTCGTATCATATCATTGTTCAAGTTTTTACGTTCGGTTGCGAATAGTCTGTTGTTCTGGTGTCGGGTGAGGGGTAATTTCGCTCATGATATGTGGATGCTGAGATTGATTTCTTTGTTACCTTTTTATTCAGACAGGTTTTGTAAGATTTATGAAATGCCGGTTGCACGTTTTTGGTTATTGTTGATTTCTGTTATCATTTTTTTGACTCGGAACTGTTTCTTGATGTATTTCTGTAGTGCCATACAAAACATCTTTAAATTCATAATGATTTATGTCTATATCTCAAAAAGTAATCCCTATGCCACGTGCGATAAATTTTCCGGTTTGTAAGACGCTCAAATATGTTCGAACTAATAATTGATATGCTTAACTTACTAGACGATTTTTAATTAGGTGATTTGACGACTTAGAAGAGTCTACAAGATTTAATAAAAGACAACCAGATAGACAAACAAATGAAACTAAATAAAAGTCACCTTTTCTATTTTCAGATTCTGGCATCTCATATGGAGGTGCGATGCAAATGCCATGGCTTGTCAGGCAGCTGCCAGCTTAGAACGTGCTGGAGAGCCACACCTGACTTCAGAGCGGTAGCATCTACCATCAAACGACAATATAGAAAGGTATAGAAGAACATAATCTTAAATAGAAGAACATTAAAGAAAAAATAATTCGATAAATCCCTTGGTCTATAGTAATTGTAGGTAAAATGTCGTAGTTACCTAGAGGTTATATTTTCCAGATTCGAAACCTGATAAATACCAATTTAACGTTTATAAGTTATACCATATGTACTTTCTAAGATTATTGGACACCATTGACGATGGAAAACATCGTGAGGAAACCTAAACTTATTAAATCTAATTATAAGTTTGTTATCACCGAATCGCCTTGCGCAAGCGTGGTGATTAATGTTCAAAGCTTATGTGAAGAAGAGGCCTTGCTGAATTGCTTATCAGTGGGCATTTATAGGGTGGTGATAAGGAACCTTTTGAGAAATACATTACAATTGGAGTAATTGTAATGTATTTCTCAAAAGGTTTAAAAACGACACCTAGAAAAATTTCTGCGTACCGGGATCTGTAAGCGAGTCTTGTCAAGTATCCTATAATCTTAATACCAAATAGAGGACTTTTGTAATATTTTTTCAACGGATCTCACAATAGCGTTGTGGCAATCGTATCTTTCTGCCGCTAAATGATACATTTTTTTTCACAGGGTTTGATGGTAGCTCAGGAAGAGTTGAATAATAATCCCTCTGTGCTCAGAGGCAGACCTAGAGGCAGGAGGCGAGGGAAGGCGAGGCCTGCTCCTAAGACTAGCCTGCTGTTCTTTGAGAGGTTAGCTTATAATTATAAATAATCTTTTGTGTAATTTTTGGGAGCAATATCTAGATTCATTATTTTTAATTAAAAATGCAATAAATGCATTCCTATACTTATGACGTAAAGCAGACAAATTTTGCGATAGAAATTGCTTTTCCGATCTTCATATTCTTAAGGACAAATCACCAAGATTTTCGGTAAAAGAGAACCGTAAAATTAAGGAAAATAAACTCACCGTAGAAGTTTCTTGCAATTTCAGCGTTCTGCAGTTATAAAGCGTGTTATTTTTTTACTTCTAGATCACCAAGTTTCTGCGACGCAGATCCTCGAACGGATTCGGCTGGTACATCAGGTCGGGTCTGTCGCATCGGTCGGACGACGAGGTCGGGATCGTGCGACTTACTCTGTTGTGGGCGTGGCCACGCTTTGATTAGGAAGTCTAGCATAAAACCTTGTAATTGCACCTTCCATTGGTGCTGCAGGGTTGACTGTGAAAGATGTCGTGACGACAAATGGATTGCTATTTGTAAGTAATTTAGTAACAATAGTCCATTTCATTGGAGATCTTTATATTATGATCTACATAAGTAATAAGTGGGGATGAAGAGTTTTCGTATGTAAATTCTTCCATGACATTGAATTCAATGTCTTTTGGTAAGCTGATGATACAGAAAATACTACTGTACTGTCATTCTATAAAAATACTAATTTGATTTTCAATCTTATCACAAAAAGGTAAGAGTGATAATCTTATATCTGTGTAAACACGTTCTCCACCCCGTCCCCGCTTATGTCATGTAAAAAAAGGAATTCTGACTTATTTAAACTTTCCGCGATATGTACTGATCTACTGATTTCTATTAGCTAAACTTGTAGTTTATATATACCCATATATAATTATGTATAACCTCAGTACTTAGATATAAAACCATTCCTATAGTACCTACATTCCATTTCTGAGTAGCTTATAATATATTTATTGCAAATATAAGTGACAAAATAAAACATATTGTTTTAAACATGGAACGGAACTACGTTACAAGATTTTGAAACAAGAAAGGTCCATTTAAGGACTATTCAAGACATTATGAATAAAAAAAATGTAAAAAAAATTCTTTAATTCTTTTATGACTACGAAGGTCGTATTTACATTTCGTTTTAAATTTTCGTGTAGCAATATGCAGTTATATATAAATAAAAGACATGTAATGTAGGTAAATTGTAAAATAATAATTATACTTATACCGCATATAAATTGTTAATAATATCAGTATTAATCCGTAGGCAATCTTAAACGCACTTTTGAATCTCGGTTTCTAATTAATCTGTGATTTTTTAATTTGTATTGTAAACTAGCGGAGCGCCCCTGCTTCGCACGGGTAAGTATCCGACTACCCGACAGTCATTTGTTTTTTAGCAAATGACCACAGCACCGAAAGGATTGTTTATTCCCGATATTCCCCTTTACTTTTCTGAAGTTTTCTTTCGTAAGAACCTTCACATAAAAATAACGAACATAACAAAAAAAGAATTAGCAAAATTGGTCCAGTCGTTATTGAGTTATGCGCTTACCAACACATTTCGCGATTTATTTTTATAATTTAGATAAAAAAATCTAAATTTTTTTTTACAAAATTAAACAGTTTGTATTTTTATTATTATTGCTCGGCCACCACTAGCATCCGCCCGCGGCTTCGCGCGCGTTGATTGGTATATGTAATGTATTCCGAATTTTTAAAAACAGCAGCGTTTGAAGCTGTAGCTGTACGTGAATGAAGTATGTATAAATTATAGCCAAAAGCAATCAGGCACATTGCAGCTATCAATCCTTGAAAATTTTTGGAAATCCGACCCGCAGTTCGAAAGATTTCCCCCTACATACAAACTTACTAATTTTAGCTCTTAATAATATTACAAGCGATTTTAATCACAATATTTCCTAAGCATTAAGTCTTACAATACAGGTTAAAGAAGACAAATTAGCTTAATTAGATTCGAGGTTTACGCTAATGAAACACTCTTTTAATACATATGTATAATATAGCAAACAATATTTGTATCTACTGTCCACAATTGCGTGCAAAAAAATGTGTAGGTACACAATTTTTTTTTTCTTCATAGATTTTAAGAACTTTTTTATTTTTTCAAACTTCGAGTACGAGTCTTTTGGCAAAGTTTTGTGAAAACATTAGGGCTGATGTTTTATTTTCATTGTAATGTACGTCTTTTAGATTTATTAAAAACATTAGACACGTATTATTTTTGTATATTTTTGAGAGGAGAAAATCATCGAATCTCTTCCCCGTCGTGGATGGGGTAAGAGGGAATATTAGACTCTTACTGACTAAAAACCACCCCGTGGTGGGTAGTTAAGACTGCGTGGCTGGGCAACTGGCTGCCGTGCTATGTGTCGCGGGTTCGATTCCCGCACGGAACAACTCTTTGTGTGATCCACAAATTGTTGTTCCGGGTCTGGGTGTCATGGGCATGTGAAATTGTATGTTTGTAATCTCACCCACGACACAGGAGAAAATGGTAGTAGGGGCAAAGTTAAAAAAAAAAATAACTAAGCATTGCTTTCGCAGGTGAAATAATTAAAAGAGACGTGTCTATATTATACATATTTTTTTTTTGCTCCGTTATCATTCCTACTGTGTGCTACTTTTTCTGCACGTGATTAAGTTAATAATTTTATTATGTAAATATCAATATACCTAACGTAATATTGTACTTAAGCATTCCTGTTCCGTGATATTTATTGAATTAACTATTTATTGTAGTTATAAGACTTTGTACCGACGCTTTATATTTAAGAAAATATAATAAAATAATCTTGAAGGAATTGTTACTTTTTAATTACATTATAGTATTTACTTACTAGAATGTAATTATATACATATGTGTGTATAGGTTTCAGTTCAAAAGTAGGTAACTGACTTACTTATTAATTTAAGAACTACCTGATATTCAAACAATCGTAATGTGATTCATAATAGTACGTATCTTTAAACACTTATACACAGACACACACACTCCACACCTCGCTCGCTCGCTGTGCTGTACTTGTAGTCAAAATCCAATATGACATCTGATGACTACGCATCATTGACTTCAAAATAGGAACAGAAATATGTTGATTTACAACCAGAAAAAAACAGTTATAAAGACACTTACGACATACCTAAGAGAAAATCCTAGTGCAAGACAACGTTTTAATAATAAAATGGATAAAAGTAAAAAACATAACAACAAGAAATCAACACATCTGCTACCTTGCCGAAATGTAATGTACAGTAAAACATTCGTATTAAAAAGCGACAGTATACTAAACACAAATAGACTCAAACATAAATCTTTAAGGGCATGGATGAATAAAAAAAACAATTGTTATTCGTCGAGTTTCAGAAACCATTCATAAAATAACAAATCCCATTCAATTCAATGCTTACAAACACTTACTCGTACATCTCAAGTAGGTGCTTCAAACGGGAGCGATATTTCAAGTAGACCCACAATTATCGTGTTACTTTTGGCTAATTTGACCCCTTGACTCAAGGGTCCTTGTTGCTTCAACGCTTTGTTGATGGGTATCATTTCACCAAGCTCCAAAAAAGGCTTTAGAACTAACAAGAAACATTTGAAGAAGGATTTTGAAACTACGTTTTATATTGATTGGTTGAACCTTGTAACTGGTTTGATTGAAGGAATTAAAACACTTCGTTTCCTGCTTTATGTCATTTAATTTGCAACAAAAGGACTGGCATGGCCGTTCCCGCTAGTGGTGCCATCTGCAGAGCACAAAAAATATATCGAATATGAATTATTTTTCAGTAATACGATGTTTAACATTTGTACGAATTAAAAATATATGAGTCTATGTAATCATTTTTAAAACAAACTCAGAGTCAAATGGTTCAATTAGATTAAGAATCCACTAAGGTCTATAAACCACTTTTAACTACTTTCAACTCCTATACGTTTTGGACGTTGAATGAAATCAAAGACTCCTAAAACCCACTATACGAGATTACTTCTACCCTTCCTTTCACATCCCTCATCATTCATAAACATCTAACAGTAAATCGACAGATCTTTTTTGACATTCAAAAACAGGTACGCCATTGAACTTTGAATTGAATAACCGTTTTTGTATTCATTGCCGTTCCGCTTTTAAAGTTATGGGGGCATGATCGAATACTAGTTGGCATGACAGATTGTTTTTTTTTTTTAAAGATCCATCATATATCTGTAGTATGTGTTGCGAATTAATTTCGATAATTGTTTCCTAAACAAGAATTTCACAGTCGTCATTCGGAGCGGTATTTTTAAGTGGATAGTTTAAATAGATTGAGATTGATTTCGGCATTGATATCGGACATCTTGATTTGAACGAGTTTTTTTTTTATTAACTGGATCTTTTGAAGAAAGATTGAGTTACTGATACTTTTTTTATTTTTCTTAATTGAGGGGAAAATATTGTTATGAAAGAAAAAAGAGTTCCTGATAGAATGACTTCTGATAGAGGAGCACTAAAAAATAACACACTGTGCCTTGAAATAAGGGAAGAGCACGAAGAAGACTAAGTTATACTACAAACACAGTTAGTGCTTGAGACGATATCCGCATGGTGGCTGGCATCGAGCTCACTGATATGGTGTGCAACTTGGGAGGCCTATGTCCAGCAGTGGACGGGTTTATGCTGATGATGATATGACGATGAAGCATAAGTGTAGTTCTATACCAACATAATAATGATAATCCGAAACAAACGTGCAATTTACGATTCGCAAATATTTCTAGAACAAATCCAGCAATCATTACAAGGTTATCGCCCTTGATTGAATCCTAATACTTTTATAGATTTTGCAATCCAATACCAATGGAAAAATCCATGATTACTAAGCACAAACACTTCTACCTATATAGAACATTTAGTACCTGCTAACTGACATAGTAAAGAAACACAATTAAACGCGTCCCCAATTAAATTGTATCCAAGGTATGTAGGAAGGTCGTCAGGCATTATGACCTAATAGTATTAGGGGATTAGCAGTGTTCCTAATACCCGAAGCCCTAGCACTTGTGAGCTCTCGACAACGAATGGAACACTCGGCCCTGCGCCGTGGCCGATGCCGTGTCGTTGGAAGTGATCGGAGAAAAGTGGGTAAGTCTTTATTATTATTTTGTGATTTAAAACTTGTGTTTAAAAAGAGGAAGATCTTGCAAAATCCTGGATTGAGATGGATTTGCGTCAAATCTTAAGAATCCTGTAGATATCTATCCACAGATTTTCTATAAGGGTCGGTCATAATTTCTTGCATAAGAAATTATTAATATTTATTTAATTTGTGCAGAGTTTCGCATTTGTAGAGGAGTAGTTCTATTTCAATGGGACTTTTAATATCATGAGTGACAAAACTTTGATATGCCTATTGTACCTAACATTTTTGACTAGGTATTTTCTCGCTTGATGAGATGAGATTTCATGTTATTGTTTTTTACAAACAATGTAAGTAATTGGTTGAATTTGGAAAAATAATACCTCCTTGTACATTCACTGGTTACATCCAATTAAGTTCCACTTTGGTACATTGTTGTTTGAACGATCATAATTTAATTAATAAAACAGATACTTTAATAAAGTAGATACCAGTGAACTATATACACAGCTATTGAATTTTACAAAAAAGTATATCTACCTATAATACCTACCTATTTCAAGAAACAAATTGGTAATTTTTCAAAATCTATTTTTCCTCGATATAACATAGTATTCTACAGTTATGGTTATGTAATATTCCGTTCACTTTCTGTGTTTATCCGCGAAAGGAGGTCAAACAAACATAGATTTATTTAGTTACATTACATTAAAATACTGAAAAAATTTGAAACTTCAAGGTCTCATAATAGGGCTAAAACCACAATGCGATGCCCCTAGACAATTAATTGATTTTTTTTAGCTTAGCACGTATTTATTTGTTCTGGGATTCCCTGCAGGACAGCTCAATACTTTAGGTACATGATCCATTCACCATGAAGGACGGTCTGAACGTATCGGCCCTGCCGAGCCCCTTCGACCGATACAAGCTCGAGGGTAAACTAGGAGCTGGTATCTTCGGCGAAGTATATCGAGCTTCGGACTCACAAGCAGCTGGCAAAAATGTCGCAGTCAAAATACAAACGTACATAGACGAGAATGAAGACCATATACAAGAAGAATACAAAATACTCCGGGATTTCACGAAACATCCCAATCTTATTGACTTCTATGGAGTATTCTGTGAGAAATCTGAAGGTTTTAAGAAGATATGGTTTGTTCTTGAGGTATGTTAGTAAATTAAATCCTAAAGCACATTAATACAACTGAATGTAACTCCAATGGAAATATTTCAATGCCATTTGAATACGTCGCCATGATTCAAATAACACAATGAATCATCTATTTTCCAGTTGTGCGAATGTGGATCTGTCATCGATATTGTCAGGAAACTGAAAGCAACAGACAGAAAAATGTCCGAGGAACACATCGCTTACATCCTCAAATATACGATCAAGGTAAGACCATATTCGACTGACTATAAACATGTCGCTCGTCACATACGAGTCGAGATGGCTGTTTATAAAACAAAGGGGCTGCCAGTCCACCTTTCAACGGCTGAATCAATTGGTAGGTACTTTGAATGCAAACTCAATTGTTCTCGGATCTGTGTCCCGGCTATTTCTGTTGCTCGCGTGACGTCGAATAAAATATTGCCCGGCGAATGTCCACGTACGTTGAAATACAATCTAGAGCCATTACTTAAAATGCACGCCGCTTTATTTGATGTGATTCGCGACGGAACAGTCGAACTTGTCGATGCGAATGTCGGTGCGCGCCCGACAACACCATGATGGCCCCCCATCGCGGCGCATCGCTCAATTATCGTAAATAATGCTCGCACACACAAGATATACGGATCTCTGGCGCAGTAGCCGATGATCTCTCTAACGCGGATCAGTCATTGGAAAACCATTCTTATATCCTAATGATAAGGTTGATTCAAATCGAGGCAAGTTCGTCTTTTGAGGCCTCAACTTATCGGAGTGGGTTAAATGCGTATTATCTTTATGCAAGCCACTTGGTTCACAATACCGGTGCTCTGTCCTCTTCGTAAGGCAGATCTTCCACGCATATCTATCGATGTTGCATCTCGTAAAGTACGATCAAAGTCGAACTTGGGATGTCATCTTTGTCGATAAATTTATAAAATTTCGTATCGATTTATTTCAGTTAATATTACAAATGTAATCATACTTAAAATAAGAATGCACGAATGAATCTTCGTATTCTGAAGATAATTATATTCGAGACCCTTTGCTTCAGAAAATATTAAACAAAGAATGTTAGTGAGAAATTAAAAAATATGTATTGAGGGTGATTTACAAAGCATACTGTCAAAATTACGTATTTCAGAAAATTATTTAAGTCAATGCAAATAATTTTCCCTTCATAACAAAAATTTTAAATAACTTAAACATGATGAATTTTTCAGCGATGAAATATCGATAAATATTGAGTACAACACTAACAACTAAACGATCGTAATGAACGCATTAAACAAGCTGATATATCAGACAGCAGAGAGCGCGGACAGCCCGCCTGCGACAGCACTGAAGCCCCGATACGTATGCAAATAGGCCCCAATGAATCTTCGGGGCGTGGGGACTTGATTGACGCTGACGTTAGTATCGCCCAGCCGTCTTAACAATCCACGAGTCCTCCGCGTTAGGGGCGGTCACTCCATCACTCCCTGTCAAACTACCGTGTTGACTGCCTCGATTGGTGCAATCAATTCTACCTTACTCATTTGTATTCTAGGCGCTCGTTTACTTGCACGAGAACAAAGTGATACACCGGAATGTAAGATGCAGCAACATTCTGATTACAAAGGACGGCGAAGTGAAATTGACCGATTTTGGATTGTCTTGCAAATTGAATGGGACCCTTGATACGAGTAAGACAAATATTGGGTCGCCCAGTTGGATGGCTCCTGAAGTAGTGACATGTGGTGAAGAGGGTTATGGGAATAGGATAGATGTATGGGCGTTAGGCATAACGGCTATAGAAATGGCTGATGGGAAGGCACCATTCCAAGAAATGCATCCAACAAGAGCACTTTTCCAAATCGTCAGAAATCCTCCACCGAGCTTATTAAAACCTGCTATGTGGTCCAACGATATCAATGATTTTATCACTGAGTAAGTATTTCCTACAGAATTACAAATTTTGTAATATAAATTTGATTTTCTAAATGGTCTCATGTTTTAGATGCCTCGAAAAAAATCCAGAACACCGACCTTACATGGTAGAATTAGAAGAGCATCCTTTCATACAATCTGTCCCGGAAAACGATTTTCATGTGAGTGTTGTTCACATTTTGATATTTACTAGTTTTACAATAGATACACCACTTTAAAACATTTTTTACAGCTTACGACGGAATTGAAAGTATTGGCTGCCGATATGAAGAATGTATCATTATCAGATAAATTACCTGAGAGAATGATTAAAAACGGCCTACTAACAGTTCAAGGTGTTTCTGAACCTGAGACCATGCAAGTTGAAGATTTAGCAGCATTGGAAAAATTAACAGAAGACCACATTCTGACAGAGTTACAGACTAAATTAGCTAAAGGATCATTCATGTCGTTTATCGGAGATGTTCTCTTAATTCTTAATCCAAATACAAACGACGATATCTACAATGATAGTGTAAGTACAAAAAATAAAGATAAATTATCTCAATTAGAATATAAATTAAAAATATAAATGTTTTCAGTACCATCAAAAATATGAATGCAAATCGAGATCAGATAATGAACCACATATATTCGCTGTAGCAGACAGTGCATATCAGGACGCTCTGCACCATAACGAACCACAGCACGTTGTATTTTCTGGTGAATGTAAATCGGGCAAAACAACAAATATGTTACATGCTCTATCCCACCTTACGTACTTAGGGGCTATGAAGAACAATACAGCTGAGAGGATTCAAAAAGCAACTAAAGTAATACAAGCAGCTATAACTGGAGCAACTCCGTTGAATGCTCACTCTACAAGAGGAATTTTCCAAATACAAGTGACTTACGGCAGTTCCGGAAAACTAAGCGGTGCCATATTCTGGTTATATCAACTAGAAAAATGGCGTGTCTCCTCCACCGATATGTAAGTAGCTTATGTTGAAATTTTACGTCGACTACCGATGGAAATAAAATTCAAATAAGTGTTTCAGGTCTCAAGCCAATTTCAACCTGTTGTATTATTTCTACGACGCTATGGAAGCTGCAAATCGAACCGAAGAACTGTGTTTAGAGAAAAACAGAAAACATCGGTATTTGAGGATACTCGAAGAACCAAGCAAGGGTTTGAAAGGTGTAAGGGAAAATTTTGAAAATAATGCTACTCTATACAAAGAATTTATAGAAAATCTTAAAGCTTTGGACTGGGAAGAAGAAGATATAACGTTTTTCGAAACAGTCTTAGCTTCTATTCTAGTACTTGGTAATGTCAGATTCAAGGATGGCAAAAGTGGCACGGCTGAGATAGAAAATCCTGATGAAGCAAAGAAAGTTGCTAAACTATTGTCACTAGGGGAAGTACAATTTCTTTGGGCTTTGTTGAATTATTGTTTAATCGAAAGTGGAACTGCTGTAAAGAGACGACACTCTACTGATGAAGCTAGAGATGCAAGAGATACTTTGGCAAGTGCACTGTACAAAAGACTAATCGACTGGATGATTAATTTAATAAATTCCAAGCTCTCATTTATGAGATCTGTGTTGTAAGTGTTTTACTTTTTGTAATCGTTTGTTAAAACCGCTATTACAATATTTTAATGAACTGGGTAATTTTTCAGTGGCGATAAATATTCAGTGAGTTTGCTGGACATGTTTGGATTCGAATGCTATCACAGAAATAAATTGGAACAGCTGATTGTCAACACAACGAACGAACAAATACAGTTTCTGTACAACCAAAGGATGTTTGCTTGGGAGATGCAAGAAACAGCAGAAGAAGAAGTTCCAGTAGTATCCTTGCATTTCTATGATAATAAGAATTCAGTGGACCAGCTAATGGGAAGACCTCTTGGGTTGTTTTATATTTTAGACGAAGCTAGTCGAACGGGTAGTGGACAAGAGTTCATAATGAGTAAGTAAACTTGAGAAAACTGCTATCTACTAAATTTCAAGATGATACAAAATCCTGACGATGTTATTTTCCCAGGTACCATAAGAACAACATGCAAAGGACCCTACATCAAACTATCTGGCAGCCATGAATTTAGTGTGGCACATTACACGGGAAAAGTTAATTACGATTGCCGAGAAATGGCTGACAAAAACAAAGATTTCCTGCCTCCTGAAATGATAGAAACTATGCGAGCTTCTACCAATGTTACCTTACAACAACTTTTTAGGAACAAATTAACTAAAACTGGAAACTTGACTGTATCATCAAGCCAACCAAAAGTAACTGTTGTGAGGTCGAAATCCGAGAAAGAAATGGAAAATCTGAAAGCACGTGTAAGTAATTAAGGTTTATTAAAGTAATAAAATCGATAGTTGACTCAAATAATTAGTTCTTTAGTTTGTAATTAGATTCCAATATCACATATTTTTACAGAAATACAACACGGTTTCCAAAGGTCAATATTCTCAAGTACACCGAATGAGGACAGCAGCTGCAACCTACCGAGCTACTAGTCTAGAAATTTTGAAGCAATTATCCATAGGCCCTGGAAGTGGAGGCACTCATTATGTTCGCTGTGTCCGAGCTGATCTGAATGACAACCCTAGAGGATTCCAACCAGAGGTGGTTAGACAGCAGATAAGAGCTTTGGCAATTTTGGATACCGCAAAAGCACGGCAGAGTGGATTCTCTAGTCGTATTCCCTTTGCAGAGTTTATTCGGAGGTGAGTGGAGGAGGTGATAACTGGAATGATTTTGGTACCTGAAGGGCAACTTGATTACTATGTTGATATTTATTTTGATCAAATTGCCATTACAGATATCGTTTCTTAGCATTTGACTTTGACGAAAATGTTGAAGTGACGAAAGAAAACTGCAGGCTGCTGATGATTCGTCTTAAGATGGAAGGTTGGGTACTTGGAAAAAGCAAAGTATTTTTAAAGTATTACAACGAAGAATTTTTGTCAAGGTAAAACAATTTATGAAATTAGTAACGTATATAGAAGATGCTAATGTTCTAATGAAAATTATTTTCACATTTCAGGCTTTACGAAACTCAAGTGAAGAAAATCATAAAAGTGCAATGCATGATGAGAGCTTTCCTGGCCAGAAGAAAAGCTAATAAAGATAAATCGAAAATGAAGCACAGTAAGTTTTCATTGATCCATTCATTGCATGATTTTTTCTATTCTGAATAATAATTAACAAAGTATAAGATATAGTTTCAAATCCTAGTCTCAATATAAGTTAGCTTTAGTTAAAAATTTTAGTCTTGGTCAGCGGGATGATTCTTTATGCAAAAGCTTCTGAAAGTTCACGTAATTTTAAAAATGCCTGTCGAAAGCTGTGATTCATACACCAGTCGACATAAAAATGTAAATTAAACTCAAACATTTCCTTATAAGTTGCTGCAATTAAGCAGTGGCATAAATAATTGGAAAATTTATATTTTTACGAATTTGCAGTAAAAGAACTGAAGAAACAACAATCGATGAACGTGACCGAGGACGAAGCTGCATTGTTGATACAAAAAGGTACGAAAGTAAAACCTTACTTTATTATTTAGATGCCTTACTGTGGGAATCCAATCCAACCTTGTCGAAGGTAATTCTGTTTTAGTCTATAAGTTCAGGGCCATATTTAATCTTACGAACGTTTAAATAATAATAGGATTTACAACTAATCCTAAATCCCTTGTATCTAAGGCAGAGGTAGATAAACGAGGGTACACACAAAATAACAAATAACTAGTGTTCCATGTTTAAAAAAAGGAAGATACCAACATCGCAACATTAAATTATTTAATTTTAACAATACTCTTGAAATTATACCTACTATGAAATAGCACCGATTAGAAATAAAAAAGTACATGTTTTGGTAACCTACAATATTTTTACAGCATACAGAGGTTACATTGTCCGCAAAGCGTATGGGCCTCTCATAAATAAAAGTACAGGACAAATTGACGAAGAAACTGCGTCATTCCTAAAGAGATTTGCCATGAAGTGGAAAAGCCGGTCTATATTTCAAGTTCTGTTGCAATATCGAGCAGTTCGCTATCAGGATCTAGTGCATTTCTCACAGCAGGTAATTTATTGACATATTTATCTTTAGTTGGAGTTATTTTGTAAAATTACACTTTGCAAAAGATTTACAATACTTATTGTCTTTAGTAAGAACAATGAATAAGTATTGCACGTACCTAATGATGCGCTGCATTAACTATTTTGCAGAATAGCTTTAGCAATAAATCCCAAAACGCAAACAAATATTTTTATTTACTTGCAACTCCATAATTAGGAAAGGGGAAAGAACGTTTATTTTGAAGGGGACAGTTATCATATATGAATTCTTTCTCTAACTTTGTAGATGCCTACAAAATTGACGAGAAAGTTTATGAAAACTGTGACTGAGATATCTTATCACTCAGTTAACTATGAGGAGTTAAACGATGATAGTTCTGTATTAAACGATCTTGGCAAGCGTGGAGTCTACAACGTTTTTGCTAAACTATCGAGTCTGGGTGCACGAAAAGTGCACGGGTGGTATCGGCAACTATCTTTACCATAACGCTGTAGAGCATTATTCATGAATATGTTTATTAAGTAACCTAGACATAATTATATTCCCTGTATTCTTGAACATAAAACGTAGGGTTTTAAGTACTACTATTCTATCTATTAGTCTGTGACAAAACAATTGAACAGTCATTTGATACCATCAGTAAAGATTTTGCAAAATAAGAACATTTCGTTATTGTGAAAAACTACCAAAATATTAATTGGTAAGTTCAGAGAAACTGCGTACTCTTAAACGAAACCTCGCGACGCATATCAATCATCTGCTATTCGCTAAACAATCAGACTTCTATCTAATTAATAATATGACTTTGAAAATTCTAGGTACAGACGTCTGCACATTGGGCTATTCCATCTGACAAAACATCGCTTTGATAGATTTCCAACTTTATTGTCTTTGTGATGGAATTGAAAATCTATTAATTTGACAGATACCTTTGATGTGCTTGCGTCCGTACATATAACTTTTCTGTTTCATTTTAGGTGCATATTTACAACCAGGCAGTTTTGGAAGCACTGCTTAACACTAGTACCTCCGTCCTCCTAGACCGGGTAGACCCTCATTCGAAGGAAGGAGACTTCCTCGGCTCTGGTCCTCCTACAGTGTGGAAGCTTCCATTTAGGATCGACCAGCTGCAGTATTACGACACCTCGTATATGTGCGACCCTTCAGCTAAGAGCAAGTAAGTATTCATTTAACAATTTGATTGAAGAATGTATTGGTCCAAATAAATTGAACTTTAAACAGTCTTGATAAAAAATTTATCAAACCTTTTTAAAATTGAAATTTATAATTTATTTTCCTAACTAGACTAATGTGTCCAATTTCTTCTTATAGTGACACATTTGCCAGTCAATATGATTCCGACCACGAGCAGTGGGACGAACCGTTGAAACGTCGATTTAGTTCAGCACAAACCGACACCAGTAAAGCGTCGGCGAGCACACAGACGCTCATCACAGTGCCATTCTGCAGAGATCCGACGCAACCAGTCCCCGTGCTACCGCCAGACGAACCAGACAAATTGACAGCGTCAAAATCCTTCCGTAAAGATGGACCGGCCAATAGACCTGCAGTATACAAAAAGAAACCAGGCCATACACCACATTCATACTACCAGCCACCTGAGCCCTGGGCAGGAGTACGGGACGACACAGATATCCTCGAAGACGCAGCACCAAAACTTCGAAAGACCGGCTACACCAGGAGCCTCTACGCTATTGATACCGAAGCCCAAGATCCCATAATGGAACTACAAGCAATGGCTAAGTCCACCAGCGACATGAACGAGGACGATCCCCCGTTCAATTTCCAGGCTATGCTAAAGAAAACCCCACGGAATAGAGCGTCTATGAAGAGGTCTAACGAGTTGGGTATTGACATGGAAGAGAAACAGGTGGTCACGAAGCATATTATATCCCCTAGCAAGGCAAAACCACCAGCAGCTCCCAAAATGCAGGCGCCAACTCCTCCGCCAGGTAAACCTCCTACTCCTTCAACTAAACGTACTGCCCCAACACCTCCACCCTACAGAATGGCTGCAGAGACTCCTCCACCGAGTAGAGTAACTCCACCTCCACAGCGATCTCCAAGTAAAGAATTCATTCGAAAAAATTCAAAGGACCTCATTATAGCAGCTTTGAAGAAGAGAGATTCAAAGACCGATCTGATCAATTCCGACGACAATAAAATGGAAAACGAGAAGGTGGAACTAGCGCCAGGGATCACAGTCGAGGGTACGGTCACGGATTTATAAAAGACATAAAATTTTCGTAAAAAATATATTTAATCTCCATTGCATTGGAAGTCCGCATACGTTATTATGGCGTTACAATATTAATATTGTTTTTGACAATTTAGTTTTAAAGCCATACGTGTTATGTAATCATAAGATTTTTGTTAATTTCTATATAATATAATTTTAATCTCAATAGAGTTAAGTATATTAAATACAAAAGATGATCTTAAAGCGAAAATATGGCGAAACATATGTGACATGTGTACTTAACACATCATACACAGTTTTAAGGTTTCATCACATCGTAAAAAAATATATCAAATTTTATATTAAACCTTAAAGTATCTTATCCGAAATTGCTTTGGTAACTTATTATATTCGCTTACAAACTAGAATGTGGTGACATGGACATTTACACTGCGTTGAATGGTCCTTAGTAACATTACGTAAAAAAGCATTTATTGGTGAGCGATACATTATATAATAGATATCATAAAAGCATTATATTTGCAGCATTTGTCACTAGAAAATTATGAACTGATTAAGAATTATTAGAGTTCTAGATAATACTTAATATTTATATTTCTAAATGTATCGCTCATGTAGAGATCCTGTACGTATGTTTTACTTTGATTTTAAGCTCGCATTGTTATTCAAAGCTCGATCGAATAATTTGTACAGAGTGATATGTTCCTATAAAAATCCTATTAGATTACAAAATATGTATTTTATTATTATTGTTAAATTAATTAAATATTTATACCGGTTTACTGTCAAATGCAGTGTCACGCATTGCTGCTCATTAATATAAGCTCCTGCAGTGGCTTGAAACTGGTCGGGGTATCTCGAAAAACGACTTCGCAAGTAAGCCGTTAGTATATTTAATTAATTTATTATATTTCACAAAAGTTATATAATACAAAAATATTTTTCAAGCAGCCTTCTTTTAAGTGCATTTGCTTGGCACGGGTTTTCGCAGACTAAAAATCATGAAAACTGGGAACCAATTTTAATGAAACTTGGCACTTATAATATATCTTATTACAATGAAATATTGCTAAGATTTTTGAAATATTATATATACGTGACTTTAAGTTGTTTATTAAAGACTTTAAAATTGGTATGAAAACCCATGCCACCTGAAGACCTCTTGTTTCTCATAAGATCTGTTTACACTATTCCAGTTTATTAATTCAGCAAAAAGGGTAAGTTTTGTGAAACATCCACAATAAAAGCTTTCTAGTTGCCGATATCCAAATTTATCGTGAACATTTTTATGTGAAGCAATTTATTGTTGCCTAATTTCAACTGAAATAATGTAAACTAAACTCAATTTACAAGCATAATATTAATATGTAGATATACCCAAAACTTTAATTTTTATTTTTCTTTTAAACAATTGAAACTCGAGAGCATCAATAAATAGAGGTCATGTATAAATTGAGCAATAAATAATTCAATAAATTATTTTTTTGAAGACAATTCTATATTTGAAAAATCTAGAGGAAGTAGTATTGATACCAAAGAGGTTCGTTTGAACAAAGAATAACTAGCTTCTTTTAACGGTAGGTGTGTTTTACAATATACCAAACAATTATAATGATTGACCACCACAAACTTACTACCTTACATTCAAAAATCACTTGGAAAATATATAATTACTACAATAATGTACCAAAATATACGTATTCACTTTAATCTCATTTCCATATATAATTTTTCTTTTCATTTTAGGCCATGCATTTTAAATCGTATATTTTTCTGAATCAATTTCATATATATCTCTATAAATCACATCCTAAAGTTATTGCCGAATAATAATTGACTTAAAAACTAATTTTTGAAATAGAAAAATACATACGTCGAAAAGTGTTATAAAAATATTGATTGCAATCTTAATCTAATTATTATGATTCTAACTTACGCTTAAGCTCTAAAATATCAGTCAATGTGTTATGTTATGTGGTATGTGAATGGCTTGTACAAAATATTTGATTGAATTAAATATTTCATACTGTTATCGCTCTGAGTATTTTTTCCTATCCCGAGACTGTGAATCGAATTGAATCTTAAAAATATCCATATACTGAGAACTATAAAAGGTGACTAAAGACTCCTATTTATACCAATTTTTTTAAGTCTGATACGTCAAATACATCTGTTGTGAATTTTTTTTACGAATCTCTTTTGAGTGTCTTTTTTTTATAACTGCTTAGTAGCTTCTTTAAGCATTATAGAAGTATATTTCTTTCTTTTCTTCTGAATTAAAATAGTTTCTACAATACATTGAGTTGCAGTATCGTGTGTTGTCACTTCTAGGTACATTTTATACAGAGCGGTGATGACTTTCCACACCTTATCTTAAACTCATAATAATCGTTATAAGTATTGCTTTCTTAATAAATTTTAAAAATACAGGTGTAATATTTTATTTGACTGACAAACAAAATAGATTCTAAATGTTAATGCCCTTTGTCATTGCTTTATATGGAGTCCGGGCGCCATTTTCAAATATTCTGTGTTATACAGAGCGAAATCAGTAAGTCAACATTTGAGGTATGGAGGCTTTTAGTTTTTTATTAAATTAAAGTTAGCAAGAATAATAGCCAAACATTGTTTTAGTACATATAATTATAACCATAACAACTAAATTATCATTTTTCTCTTTACTTTCTGGGATTATATTGACTTAGAATACGAAATGTAATAGTTTAGTTTTTTATTTATTAAAAAAACTATTAATTTACGGCGGTTACATTACTAGAAACCGTGACTTCATTAATTTGAGATCATAACATACTTAACGTAATTTAATTAATAAATATAACCAAAATACGTAATTAATTATTTATGAGACGAAATAACCCTACAATAACCAAAAAGGTTTTAATATGGTTATACTTTACGCAAGATACTTCCGTAGAACGCATGACCAAGTTTTATGTATATCTATGGTCTTCATCATATGGATCTTGTCTATAAATCTTACACAATTATCACACGTCATGGACAATGAAAAACAAACCCAATAAGCCTTTCATAGTTTCTTAAAAAAGAGGTTTTAATAATGCCACTTAAACTTTCCACAACTTAGAATAAGTGCAAAAATAAAAAGTGCATATTACTGACCACCATGCAGTTGTGAAATTATTTGACTGGCCCTAAGTTTATAGAGTACAAAAAAAAACTATTTGCTCATTGACACAAGCAAGGTTGTAGAATATTTCAAGGAATTATTTAAAATTACAGTTTGGCTTTTGGAAGTGCTAAAGGCGTTTTAATGGCGCATAAGTAAAAAAAACAAAACTGAAACACGAACTAAAAATTTTTGGTCAAAACAATTAAATGGTATTTTTTTACATACCAAATAAAGCTTATTAAAATGTCAATTTTATTATCTAATAAACTTTTACTAAAAATGGATTCTAAGTTTGTTTGATAACATAGGTACTTATTGGTTGGACTTTTAAAGTCCTTAAGAGAGCCGAAATAAAATATTATAAATTAAAAATAGTAGGCTGAAAAACTACCTGTCATAATATATATATAAAAATTCATAATTAATGTTAGTAAACTGAGCATAAACAACTCAACATTATTTGGAACATGAATTAAAGAAAAAAAAACGAAACACTAATAAACTTTGAGGAATCCCTTCAATGACTGAACAATTTCATTTGTCAAAATAAACCTGATATGCCATACCTTTACCTTTATAAGCCTTCCATTTATTATTTCCTTCTTTCTTTCTTTTTTTCTTTACTCTCTGTTTCTTCAGACGAGTAACTGTGTGACATTTGGTTCGTTGAGAGTCAACACAGCATGAGCTTCGACCATTACAACCAAAGAGTTCCGTGCCTCCTCGTGCGGTACTCCATGGGTGCGAGTTGCGTGAGTGTACCATGCCCCTGTAGATGGCAGCACTGATATACACCATTTGCATGACAGCCTGGAATTGAAATAATTATCTTTAAAATTTGTAAAAAATAATACATCAATAAGCTTTCCTATACAAACTGTACTGTGAGGAGCATCGAATGTCTGGAACACATACCTTTACTAACAAAAAATAAAAATATATATTAACCTGTTAGTGACATGCCTGGACTTCACATGTCTTCGTCTGTATCCCCAACTGTTGTACACTCGAGGGCAAAATGGGCAAGGGAATGATGGATCTGTAATTTAAAATTCAAATGTTAAAAATGTTACTTAAAATAGTTAACAGTTTATGATACCCGAAGACATACGAAACATCTCCATGACAGCAAAAAATAAACCATAATTTAACTTTGAAAAAAACACCAATACTATGATATAATACATAAATATTGGAGATATATACATAAACAATAGGTAGGATTAAGAATGTCTACTTTACCTTATGTCGGTTAAGAACATAACAAATAAAATATATACAATAAATTTATTTTGAGTGTAATATAAATTGAAAAGCCAATTTCTGCTTAATTCCATGAGGGCAATAATAACTCAAATAAGTAGTAGATACTCAAGTGGCATGCAACTGGAGGATATAATAAATCAGATAATTGTCAAACAAAAAAGGAAAGAATTACCTTTGCAATCAGTAGACACCAAATTTAAATTCTCCGTCTTTATACTGAGTGACTCGATCCTTGTTCCGCTCTGCAGGACGGTTTCCACTTCCTTGTCAATTTCAATTATTTCTTCAGATGCATCTCCATTATTAATCTTTTCATTCAAACATGGCTGAGTACTACTCACTTCGCTTTTATCAATTCGGTCGCTCAAATTATGTGCTTTTTTATTAAGGCAGTTTTCCACTGTAAGTTTCTTCTCTGTTGAATCATCTAGTAAAGCTATGTCAGTGTCATTGGTATTATCTCCAGAATATTCAGTTAAAAGTGATTCTACTGGTTCAATTTTCAGCACAATGTTCTGTAAAAGAAATTAATTGACTTTACTGTAATTAAATTTTATTTATTACCGTTAGCAGAATGCTTAGTGACAAGTACTATTGCAAAGCTGAGTAAGATGGGTTTTATCAAAGAGCCGAGAATAACGAGATGTTACATTTGGTACTGTAGTGGGCAGCTCTCCCTAATAATTGACATAAGTTTTGTTTTTTATGGTGTTATTTAGACAACATAAATTATAGCAATTGTTAGTGCATTTATAAACAAAAATTTACTAATTTGTGCATAACACAATTATTTTATCATACAAGAATTAATCTAACTGTTCACTATTATGTTACAATCAATAAATTAAAAGACTTCACTTACAGATTGTTTTCCGCTATCAGAGCTTATCTTGTGTACAGTTTCCGAATCTACTGGTACACACTTTTTACATTTATTGTTGTTATCAGAGTCCCGCTTTCTCTTCTTAGACTGAGTGTTTGATGATTTCTGAAATTAACCATTACACCATAATTAGCGACTATTTTAACTTACTAACAGAATTTTCACTATAGTTGTCCATTATGTGTATATTTTAAATTTTAATAATTACATGTTGACATTATAAAGTCTTATGAAGAAGCACAAAAATTAAATGAGTATTTTGCTGCTTACACTTATTTTACTTGACTATAATGTTAAAGCTGTATGACATCATTGAAAATCCGTAGAAGTAGACTCCAGTGTCCAGTCCTTGGACTGACAGACCTGCCTGCTTTTTAATACAAACTATTCAAAATATACTTACATTATTCTTCTTTTCAACAACATCATCAAGAACAGCTATATCAGTATCATTTGTGTTTTCTCCTGAATAATCAGTTAAAGGTGATTCATCTGGTTCCAACTTTGGCACGAAATTCTGCAATAATAATTGAAAATTGTGGATCTATGACATACATGACATGGATAATTTGGCTTAAATTGGATAGGCAGATTAGCCTTTCAATTCGATTGATGAATTAATAAATGTGATAACTAATTACACAGCCACGGCAAACAACTTATATATTTATCTATACTAATATTATAAAGAGGTTGTATGTAGGGTGTAATGTTTGGAATCGATGGTCAGATTTCCAAAATTCTTTTACTGATAGATAGCTACAATGTTCACATCACACTATGATTAAATAGAGCCGAGCAACAGGTGAAACCTCACGAGAGTAGCTAGCCTCAAAATAATCACTAAGATAAACTTCATACTTCATCCCATCAGAAGACTATAACATTAAATAATGTGTCAATTCTGGGGCTGAACTATATAAAATGATGGCATTCACTTTTCAGTTGTGGCAATTTGAGACAATAGTTACACAATAGGTTGCCAGCATTCCCATTCCTTGAAGTTTGATAAATTAATCTAGATTTGGTTTAGAGAAAACCTACCAAAGACTTGAAATAGTAAGGATATACTAAAAAAAATTACATTTGTTGCAGCATCTTGTTTGCCCTGTACCGAGACACATTTCTTACATTTAGTGCCACTGTCATCTTGTTCACTTTTCTTACGTTTTTTTGGCACAGCAGCACCAGGAGTTTTCTGTAAAGTATATTAAAATTTATTAGCAAACAATCAAGTCTTAACATATTGATTACATTTCAATGTTGGTCTTAACAATTATCTAACACTTAATAATAATCTATTAATAATTCTGATAGCTAACAATGAACAATTTTTCCAATAAGGATAGTCAACAGAACGTCAACTTACATCTTCTTCACGTGAAGCTTCACTGCCAGTAGATAGGCCACAGATTCGCAATGTTTCTGCAGTCTTCAAGAGTATTGGCAAGAATTCCTCAGTCACATTCACCTCCCCATTGTACATAAACGTCAGCAGCGTGCGCAAAGAGGCCGTACTGATGTCATGAAGCACTATAATTGGATCCTTGTGGGGGTTTTGCTACGAAAAAAACGTGTGGGTGTATGAGACTAAAACTGCGTTGGTCAACCATGCAAAGGCCATATATAAACACTTAAATAATTTACCTGGAATATTGTCCTAAAAACTGAACTATTCGCTGACAATATTACTTTATGAGCCTTAAAACTGTGACCCTCTGAGACCAATGTAACATCCGACAGACACTCGTCTTTGAATAATTCTTTTACGTTAAACAAAATATTGCTTTGATACCCGTTCCATTTTAAACTTATTTCTTGATTCGCCATAATGTGCCACTACGTTAACATAAGGAAATTGAATTGTAGTAATCTAACAAAGCAAAATAAATAATAAAATGATACGAAACGACAAACGACGCAAAATCAGCTTGATTGACAGAAAACAATACCACAGACTCCAAAGTCCACAGACTGCATTCTGATTCTCATTTGTAACAAAGACCTTATACTCTAAACTAGACTGTGCACTAAGGCGCAAAAACCGAGCCGGTGCGAGACAGCTCCCGATGGTAGTGTGTCCCTTTCTAATGTAGTGACCATGACCAAACAGAATACGGGACAAATTGCTTGTAAAAACGATTATTTAAGTATCATGATATATTGATACTACCAAACTAGCGTAACATCACCAACCTAATTTTTTGTAAGAAAAAACCAACAATCCAAAACGTGTGTATATTTTTACTCGACTTCCAAAAAGGAGGATGGTTCTCAATTCGACCATATACTTATATATGATTTTTTTATGTTTGTAAGCCGATATCTCCGTTATTAATGAACCGATTTTGATAATTCTTTTTTTGTTGGCAAGGAGATAGTTTTAGAATGGTCCCATGATAAGGAAATCAGGATCTGATGATGGAAGACCAGAGAAATTGAGAACTTTCAAAAATTGAAGGTACGAGTGGTGCTTTTGCATGTGGTTTTAGTAGGCTTTTGACAACGCTACAACTTGCCGATGTTCGAAATCGACCTGATGATGGAGCCGGAAGACAATCGAGGGATCTCCTTGACTATTTGAAGTAGTTGCCTTGTGTTTGGGCTTGAATGATTCGTATTGATGAGCACTTTTCACCAAGATTGGTCGTGACTGTCATTATGGGTCTGATGATGAGAATGAAAGACAACTCAGGGAACTCCAGAACGGTTTTCAGTAACTACCTCCTGTTTGGACTTAATTCATTTATATTGATGAGAACTTTGCACCTATATGGATTGTGTATAATGAAGGTCTATATCAGTATACCTGATGATGGAAGTCATTGACATTTGAGGGAATTCCTCAACGATTTACAGCATTCAAAGCTGACTAACTCAGGACTATTATATAACTAAAATCACGGTATGATTTTCGGTCTCAAATAGCCATCGTCTTCTCTTTCGAGAAGCATGCTAGCTTTTTCTGCCTATCACTTAAAATGGTAAAATAAAATATTTTTTAACAAAAAAACCGACTTCCAAAATAACTAAACTAAAAAGCAAAAAATAAATTTTAGAAGTCGGTTTTTTTTTTGTTAAAAATTACTTTTTTAAAATTAATTTTGTTTTCTGACAAGCTTGGTAAGCATAATTTTTTACATTACTTTATCTAATTCTATAAAACATTCAAAAATTCTATTATTTAGGTAATTGTCAACAGTGCGAATATTTAAAGTAAATGTTTATTAAGTTTTTATTATAAGAAATAATGTATTTCAGGCTATATTTTTTACTTTCTAAAAAACGGGGAAGGTGTAGTGTGTGAGATCTCTCCCCATAAGTAGTGTAAGTTATTAGGTATAACCACTTAATTAAAGACGATCGTCCAGCTTACACGTCTCGTATTTGCTTCTACATTGCACCACATTTTAATGTAACACTTACTGGACGCTTATAACCTATTTACACCTGTTTACTTATAATATCATTGGTATTAACAAGTTCTTTAAAATAATAAAATAAAAAATGAAAAGGACACAAAGGACAAAAACAGTTAGTCGTATCTTCTGCCTATCTACTGCGATAAAGTAAGAAAATCTTTGATCGAGAAAATTCATTGTTACCCTAACCCGAAATCAGCAAACCGCCATCTTGCATTAATTGTTACCAAACACAAACATTCAAGTACTACTGTTTACTCTGTATTAATGATTTTTCGTATAATACCGCAAATTGACTATTAATTATAAGGACTATAAAGACATTTATATACGTTTTGTAGTTTATGAATTGTTTGTTTTGTTAAAACACAAAACATAATTATATTTAATTTTCTACCATTTCTACCAACCCCTAAGGTTAGTTGAGCTGGCAAGATGTGAGACAAGGACACACTACCGTGAGGAGCCCTCTCGCCTGGACCGGTTTTAGTTTGTTAACGCTTTTAAGAAAATAGCTACCCTATACATAACGGGATAAAGCACATTTTAGCTAAACAAAAAAATTTGGTGCACAGTCTAGTTTTAAGTACAAGGTCTTTGATTTGTAACAAGCCATAGAGTGCAGGCGCAAAAGTTTTACAATAAACAATACGAATCGCGATAAATAATTTAAAAAATATCGGCTTTTTCCGCGTTTCAAATGGTTTACAAAAAAATAGGGATGTATTCAATACTATATGCTATATGCTAAAAGACTAATAGTCAAATTTCCTCCTTTTTATAATAATATTAAAATGGCGGTAAACGAACCCCCTTTTGAAACAATTTTAAAAAGCGTTGCATTTTTCCAAAAGTGTTTAAGTTATATTAGGATTAGATTACAACTTTTTTCATCAATAATATACTATGTATTTGCAATGGATAATGATGGCAGTTTCAACGGGCGTTTCATCTCAAATATCTACCACTTATTAGGAAGGTAAGTAGGTACCTACTTCTTAAACTTCAATAGGTACTTATTAGTAACCAAAATAGGTAAAGGTGGTGGTAGGTAGGTAGGTGAAAAATGATTTTCACTTTTATAAACATTGTCGCCTCTTGGGCAACTAAGGCGTTCTCCATTGAGTGTATTGACATCGTCACAACCCAGATTCGGAACAATAATTTATCATACAAAATACTAAGTTGCCCAGCCGCTGAGTTAACCGTGCGATCAAATAGGTGCCTATTTCAATGCACAATGAAATACTTAGGTAGGTACCAATGGGTAGGTTAAATAACGACGGCCAATTGGGTAAATAACTACCTACACTTTTATTCATCGATCGATGGATACACTGAATTTTAAATTTTTTTAGCTACCTACCTAATTTTTAAGAAATAAGTAAACTATTTGACCCCATAAAACTACGACGTCATAACTCAGTTTTTCATACAAATTTCATAGAAAAGTATCGTTATATATACATTTGGATATTTTTTTTTTTTTTGTGAGGGGAAAATCATCAGATGACTTCTCCCGCCCAGGGCCGGGCAGGAGGGAGTGTCAGACTCTTACTGACTAAAAACCCCCCTGTTCTTCCTTCTCCTGCTCTGTGCCGAGGTCGCGGTACCTCATTGCGCTTACCCCGCAACCCCGGCTGAACATCAGCCCTTTAGGGCCCCGTCTGTGGTGGTCTATTGGCTCTTTGAGGCGCGCGCGGAACGCTACGCGCCATACGCTCGGATTTGGATATAAGTATTGAATTTGACTAGTTGGAAACTACCGTATACTCAATGCGATTAATAATAGAGGGATAGAAGAGGATTTAGGATGCCAATTGCTTACCATCGGGTGACCCGACAGACCGTTTGCTGCCTTGAACTTTTAAATTGAACATTATAAATGTTGTACCTGTAAATTATTGAATAAACTAAATTATTGTCCAGATAACAAAAAAAAAAAACTATTAGAAGTACAGCAGCCATTGGCGCCGGGTAACGTAAGTAGAGTTCATACCTGGATTTCTTTTTAACGTAAAAAGATCGTAGAATAGAAACTAGGCTTATCAATTCTTAATTATCGATTAACCTTGATCCTCAGCTATTAGACTAGACAATTTGTTATCATAAATCCATTTCAAAATGTTTAATCCGTTTATCGAAAAATATTTAAACTTATCTACCTATATGCTATTACTTCCAAACAGTTTGATGATCGAGTGATGGTGATTTATTTGGGTTTACGATAAAAGGAATTAATTAGTCGTTGGTTAAGGCGTCTGTATCTCATGCGTATAGTTGTGGGTTCGGAACCTGGCAAGTACCAATGTGACTTTTTCCGAGTTACAGGTAGGTATGTACTTTCTATTATTATTTTGACTCCACTGACATAGGCATTGTGAAGAAACCTGGACATTTAATTTCTAATTATTTTGAAATCGTCAATCCGCCGTGAGCAAGCGTGGTAATTATTGCTCATATAATTATGAAAATTGCTTCTCCGTGTGAGAATAGACCTTTGCTCAGCAGTGGGCACTTGTAGGCTGATGATGCGAAGTAATATGATGTATCAACTTATCAGTGCCAGCATTTGGTGATTGCCGCGACAAAACGGCGCTGCATACGTTGGCGGAGTGCCCAGCTTGGGCCGAGCAGCGCCGTTCCGGCTGTAGTGTCTACGATGGTCGGGAGCGAGTCAGGGTGGAGTGCCGTTGCTATCGTTTGCGAGGCCGTGATGCTCGCAAAGGAGGCGGCGGAAAGGGAAAGAGAGAGGCTATCTCCTCTCTTCCCTCCCGCAGCAGACACGCACTAGACGTCGCATCGACGGGTGGGAGACCTGTAGCCACCGTAGAGCGCGGCCTGCGGACGACAGACTCGGAGCGTCTTATCGTTCAACCAGCAGCAGGCCGCGGTGTCCTGCGGTCGGGGTGACAGCCGCAGTTGGTGACAAACACTATCTGGCGGGCCAATACCCGTCGGAGAGATGCGACGAATGCTTCGGCGATACCCGCCTCTCCGACACATGGGTAAATGGAGGAACACCGGGTTGGTTTTTAGTCAGTAAGAGTCTGACAGTACCCTTCTCCCTTCCCCGAGGGCGGTGGGTCTCCATGGGGATTTTTCAACCCTATTCCACTTAGATCTAGGGCTGGTCCTAGGGTGTGCGAAAGCACAGGGCGCAATCAAGGTATGCATTACATCCATTAAGGTAAGACCTATAACGATGTCGTTCGTCAGGCAAAAGGCGAGATTTCAGAAAAAATTCTCGCTCTACCTAAAAATATTAACACTGGCACTGGTATCTTCATGTCTATACTTGTATTACTTTCAAAAGCTATCAGCAGTTTAACTGGTGTCTATAGCTAAACAGTAGTTAAACAATCTACAACACTAATCCAATATTTGAATTGCCGATAAGATCATATTTGTTTCTTCGAAGTCTTAAGGAAATAATTAGTAAGTAGGTCACCAAACAATATACGAGCATTGCCCTGAAAATAGGCTTATCTGGTCTAATCAAATAATCTAGTCCTTATGAAACTATTGTCTTCACTTTAGTCAACAGTCTATCAATACCATTTGATGACTCCTCACTTACTATAAATTAGATTCTGTTAAAATTGCTTCATTCGTTACAAAACACATTTAATAAAAAATATGTTTTGTTCACCAAAAATTGTGTTTTCGCTCGCGTTAATACATATTTGTGAAATAATTCATGCGGCCGAATACAATACATTGCACGATCCTTATTCGGAATATACTTCAAATGATATTTTAGACGACGCGCGTTTGGACACTGTAAGTACATCAATATCATTTATTTAATCTGGTTCATCTCTATTTACATCCATAAGCAATATTGTTTTCATTTTTGAACTACTATGCACCAACACTTTGTATTGAATTTGCCATTCTTTTGAAACAACCAACACCTAAATATTAACAGTTGAACAGTTACAGATCTGTCAGAACAGTTCAGTGGGATCTGTTCATTAGGACACTAGGGGCACCGAACCTATTTTAATAACATTTGAAAATAATCTTTTTGCTAAAATTTGCTATAACTACTAAAAAGCAAACCATAAAAGCAAACTTTTGTTTTTAACTCATATAATAATATAGGGTGACTCACGTTCAATAAACTTTCACAGCAATTTGGCAGCTCTAGACAATCGTCTGGTCTTTATTTGCGCTGACTCACTGTTTCCTCCGTAGTTTTCCCTGATACGGAAGTATGGTTACAATTGCGAAATTCATCGGGTATACACCGAAGACAAGTATATACTGGAGATGCATCGCATACCAAGTATTAACGAGAACGCCCCAGTGGTATTTCTTCAGCATGGTTTGTTGTCTTCATCCGCCGAATGGGTGCTCATGACACCCGGTCGTGGTCTTGGTATGTATATTTTTACTACGGTTAGGGTTGACTTTACAATAGTCGGATTAATGTTATTTGAAGAATAAAATTGTTGCTATCACTGTCTTATACAAACATTCTGACGCGACAGCATCATAATCATTCCCCAGAAAACTTTTATCTAACCATTTAACCATCATGATCCTTAAAAACAAAAATTAAGAATTGTAATTCATCATGTATCTTAATTAATGACCTTGATTAATTTCTCAAAAGAAAATGCCTCGAATTACCTACAAATCTAAATTACTTCTTATTTCAGCATACATCTTATCAGATGCTGGATATGACGTATGGATGGGTAACGCACGAGGGAACACCTATTCTCGAAGGCACGCATCTTTAAAACCTACATCTTCCGCGTTTTGGAAGTTTAGCTGGCATGAAATAGGTTACTATGATCTTCCAGCAATGATAGACTATGTTCTCAAAGAAACAAAAGTTCCTAAGATCCAGTACATAGGTTTCTCTCAAGGTACAACAGTATTCTGGGTCCTCATGTCAACAAGATCGGAATATAATGAAAAAGTTGCTGCGATGCAAGCCCTAGCACCTGTAGCATATATAGGAAATATTAAGAGTCCTCTTATCAAAGCTATTGCACCTTTCACAAATTCTCTCGAGGTAAGTCTAAGAGTTAAATGGTTTTATTGAAATTCAGTTTGTAAAAAGGCACCGTGAAAATTGGTATTTGATTAAATAATTTAAATATTAACCTGTTTGATTGGATGGAATAAAATTTTATAATTAATTTCAGCTAATATTTAAAATATTAGGTACAAATGAAATTTTACCTAATGGGAAGATAAATGAGCTAGCAGGTCAAAAATTGTGCCTGGAGGAAGCCATAACGCAATCCATTTGTACGAATATATTATTCCTCATTTGTGGATTCAACGCAGAACAACTAAATACTGTGAGTATGAAGTGGTAAAGCAATTTTTCTTTTATAATTGTCTTTTATATTTAAGTTCAATTCCGGATACTCACTGATTATTTTGGATGTGATGGCATAGTTTGTGATACCTCTGATGTTAAGTGTACCTTATGAAGCAACAGTGTACTCTGACCTATCTGGCAGCTCGTAAGATTTGTTATTTATTACTAAAATTTTTAATTCTTGCAGACGATGCTACCGGTAGTGATGGGCCACACACCAGCAGGGGCATCGACGAGGCAACTCATACATTTTGGCCAATTATACAAATCCGACAAATTTGTACAATTCGACCACGGCTGGCTCACCAACAAACGGATTTATGGGACTTTCAAACCGCCAGCATATAACTTAGGAGTTATAAAAACTCCAGTGTTTCTGCACTACGCTGATAACGATTGGCTATCCACACCAAAAGACGTTAAGAAGTTGGCTGCAAAAATTCCATCCGTCGTCGGAACTTTCAGAGTACCACTTGGAAAATTCAACCACCTAGACTTTGTTTTTGCAATTAACGCAACAGAACTAATTTACAGCAGAGTCTTAAACATAATGTCGCAATTCAAAAACCAGACCTCGAACTAAGACGTTTTATTACAGGACTTATGACATACATACATACAAATACAATTTTTGTCGTCATCGCCATCTTTTGCGTTTTCATTTCTACCTTTTCTCCAGACCTGAAAATTTGTATTATATGTTAATAAATATTATAGTTTAAAAAGCCCTTATTTTAAATATTAGCTAAAAACCTTACATGATTTGAGTCAGTACTGTCTACTGTTATTGTTGAACACGAAGGTGCAGATCTACTAGAGTTCAATGAATGGAAGGTAGCATCGATATCAGATCTCATTCCAGATTGTCTTTTGTTATTTGCTATCGTATCCATTTCACGTTTTACTATAGCACCGAATGTATTTTGAACTGTAAATATTGAAAATCCAATAAATGATTAGCAACAACAGAACAAAGCATCATTGTATAGTATATCATTTGACTATTAATATCTAACCTTTGGTTAATAATTCAATCGGATCTTCCTTCCTCTTACCACAAGCGCCGTCTGAATTTAGGTCTTTTATACCGGGATCGTTGGTTTTATGTAGAACTTGCAATAAGGAAATATGTCTATATGCCTGTAAATAATATAATATTTACTAACTGTTACGGTTTTTAAGCAACAAAACTATGTTGATTTATTTTCATCTGGAATTACCTCATTTTTGCAATTTTTCATAGTTATAATCATTTCTGAATCGATGGGTTTAACTTGGTTTGTGTTAGCATTTTCTTCTGCATAACATTCAAATGGTTTTGGTAACAAAGCAATAGTTTTATGATTACTAGAACATTTTGAGCACGCGTGGAATGATGATTTCCATGAGGAAGATTTGTATACATTTTGTAGCTCAACCTTCAGTGAGCTATTTTCTCTTTTCAGTCTTTCTATTTCTTTCCTTTGACAATTACACTTCTCTTGTAAAAAATCTAAATTTGCTTTATAAGCATCTAATTCCTCATTTTCTTCTTTGCATTGACACCCCTTATTTGCCGTCCTTATTTTCGCCGAGCAGTACCTACTTTGGTTTTGACTATAACGCGAAGAACATGTTTTTTTAAAGCTACTCACAATGGGATTCGATAAGAAATCCGTATCAGTAGATTTGTTTTTACAACATTTGTAACCCCTACAGTCTGGCTTACTTAAAATTCTTACACAGCTGCGAGTATGAAGGTCATTGTATCCACAGGGCCTAAGATTACATGGGGCAACTTCTGGTTTAACTCTTTTCCTATCCCAGCAAGGTAGTGGAAGAATGCATGGTGAGTAATTTTTCACATACATTGCTTGTTGAAGCATTTCAGTTTGCCAAGCTTTTGCCACAGACTGTACACTATCAGTAAAACAATGTTCCTGAGGGACTTTCTCATCGTTTCTTGGAAGGGTAATATTAAATATCTTTTCAATAATTATTTTCCAAAACATTTTAATGCTTTTGAGGGCTTCCAAACATCGTTCACACGGCCAATGACTCGTTTCAAATTCCTCCTGAAAATGAAATTCATCATGTTTTAAAGTAAGTTAAATGAATTGAAGTAGGTTAGTAAGTATTGAGGTAAAATTTATCATTTTGGAACTAACATCATCAAAGAATTTATCAAATTCCTCTTCATTTTTTAAACATTCTTTTATTGCATGGCACGAATTGCAAATGCTGTCTAACACCGCCTTGGATTTGCAATCTGGGTGGCAACGGGGCGTAGCCTGAAAATAATAATTTCAAATATTATAATCATGTTATAATATGCATTCATTTTATTTTACACTAACTACTAACATTGAAAGCAACTTACTCTGCCTCGACATCTGTACGTCATAGTTTTCAAAAATTCGGCTAAAGTGCTAATGGGCAATAAGCAGGTCGGCATGTCACACTTTATCCATTCCCTGAGGTAACGATTGCGTTTCTGTACATCATGACTCCATGCTCTGAGGTCACGGCAAGATTCATATGATTTAATCTTACCCTCGTTGCGTGAGAAAAGTCGTAAGTTGTTATGACCTACTATGTAATTCATTGAATTCATGCATTCGCCAAACTATTATCTCATCTTGTCTTCATGTTGACGCAAAATTTTGAATTCTAAAATGATGACTCAAATCAGCAGTCATTAACGTGTCATATTCGACATGACATGAACAATCGATGACATAACTGTAGTTGTATACTCTCTGGTTTTGAAGTTCCCCTAAACTCTTTACTTTGAAGCTTTGAAGTTTTCTCCATTTTTGTTATTCTGGTAGGCAGCAATAGCAGCAGTAGCAGTAATCACAGCATTCCTTCTTTATTTTTTTCATTTTTTGGAACTTGATAGCTAACAATAAATAGATCAATGTAGTAGAAATGTAAATATATTAGGTACCATTAAATTGAAAACTGCATCATTAATACTGGCATTGCAAAGAAAAAAGTTTTAAATCTGACATTCCATTTCAAGCCACCATTCCGCCTCGATTTTATTTGACAGTTCCAAAATATTTGATAATTTTCATTATACACATTTTGCCGTAAGATAATTGCAAAATTGCAAAACTAAAACATTATAAATCGTATCGTTATGCGTAAAATGGATGGCGGAGAAAAGTAGAGTATATTTATATACATGTATATGTTTAGAAAAGTCTTATATTACCCAATAAGTAGACTAAACAGTTGGCATCGCGATGTCTTTCATAACGAAAAGAGAGCGTGTGTTCAACGAATACGATCTATTCGATTTGCCGGCGAGGAACGAAGGGAAACTGAAAGCGTACGCGTCATGTACGGACGCGAGAGCTTGGTCCCACTTCTGTTCAGATAAAAGCGAGCACTTGGTGGAGGCAATTAAAAGGAACAACGAGACGGTCCGGCCAAAGTATGTACCGACAAATGTGATCGTGGACACTCTCATGGTAGCTAAGAATGCAGAGATTGCTCGCTTGAAGCGCAAAATTGAAGAGTTCGAACAATTGTTAGCTGCATATGATCAACTCGATCTCACGTGCGATCAGAAATGCGATATTGCTCATGCCGTAAGTACATTTGTTATTTTTATTCTTGTTTTATATCAAGAATTGACTTCTTGTGATTTAAAACTATTACCAAATTAACTCTCAATTTATAACTTCGTGTAAGCAGTCCAGTGTTGTGTATTTTGAAATTTCGCCATGAACATTCGAATAAATTCTGGTAAATGGTAAACGACTGAATATCAATGAAATTAATTATTTTTCTTTTCTCAGCATGCAGCAATAAGAGCAGCCAATAAAGAACTTGATGACCTGGTACGCAATCAAATTTATTAGCACCTATTTATTTACCAGTACATTTTTATACGAGCAGATGGATCATCTGATAGTGACAGACACCTGTTTTCGTACGGATGTCCAACGAATTCGCCTCAATCGTGTAGTGGACTGATATGTTTAATTATCAACTAGCGTACGCCCGCGGCTTTGCCCATGTGGTGGATTAAAAGTAGCCTATGTGTTAATCCAGGGTATCGCCTATCGACATACCACCAAATTTCAACCAAATTGGTCCACCCAGTTTTGATTGAAGGACTATCAAATATACATCCTAAAATAAACGAATTATGGCATAAAGGCTCGTAGACAGCCAACAACTTTAACCCCACCCTCCACTCGAACTCTTAATCCTCAAATCTCTAACTCCCAAAAGGCTGGGTGTCCATAAGTGGCACTGATTACTAGCCATCAGGAGATCCGCCTGCTTACTTTCCATAAAAAAAACAATTTATTACAATATCTAAGTAGCCAGGAATGTAAAGTGCCTAATTCCATTATCTACACGGCACAATAAACTGTTAATGATATTTCCTCTATTTGCAGTGTTTAGATTTGGATCTATCCGGTTTTACTGAAGTAAGTATTAAGAACTCTGGTACGTTCAACGAAATGACACATTTATTTTATGGTTAAATATATACGTGAACAAATGCGAATTTAAAAATGATATTGAGGACTTTTTCTAAACTGGATAGTTCGTGCGAGAGACAATAGCCTACACCTGTATCCTATCCTAAAGTAAAAGAACAATAAAACTTATTTCTATGATGTAAGTACATTAACATCGAAACTTACTACGAGAATTGGTTTCAACGAGATCTAGTAAGCATTTTTTAAAAAACTCACCACCACATTTTACCTATTAGGTATTAAATTTATTAACACATCGATTAGAATGATATCGACATACAAGGACTTTTGTTGCTGCTACGGTACCTTTCATGGGCAAGTCCAACTCACGATTTTCTCATGTTGTAACTAAATTAGTTAAATGCATTAAATGCTCTATTAGGAATGTCACAATTTTGACATATTTCTAACCCCAATCAGTAAGTGACCCTATTGGATAACAGAAATCTCTTCATAATTGGCTTAATATTTTTATTATGAAGTCGGTTAATAAGGAGACTTGCATAAGTAGGTACCATTTTAGAACATTTTTTTTTCAAACATTATACTGATATCATTATTTTTACAGGGAATTGATTCGGAAGGCTTTGCGGTAATTATTTTATTATTTTACTACGTATTATAACGAACTTGTCATGTTGCAACTTTTGACACTTTATAAATTGTTTTTATTTCAGACTGGCAAATCAACTGGAGATGGAGAGGAGGTATTAAATATTTTGCTACTACAGTTACTTTTTTCACTGTGAAATCTATTTTAGCTTTCAGCTGTTATTTAAGTCATTTAAAATACTTTTTTTATTCTGGTGACCTTTTAGCTCTTATTAAGTGGTGCTCAAGGATCTTCCAATTGTACCTATACTTTCTGACTAATTTTTAAATTTTCTTACAGGTAACACCCAAGTCAAATGAATTTGAGGTAATTGTTCTTTCTTCATAAAATGTTATAATAATATTTCTCGAAATTAACACAGGGTGTAAAAAGACACTTAACGAAGCCGTTAACTACGCATACTGCAGTTCTAACTAAGTAGCTTTACGCTAAAATTATCACTGGGAAACGACTTTTACATTAAGGTACCAAAAAAAATAAATATTGCGCGCAATGTAGAGCAAACGGGCTTCGTGTCATTGCGTGCGTAGGTTCACAGCTTAGCATTAAAACGCTGTGATAAGTACGTAGATCCACGTTTTACTTCTGAAACAACAACAAAACAATTCTGTAAAATAAAAATCCTACTGAGATGCACGATGTTTTTGTGCGGTTCTGCATTTATTTATTATGTACGTGTTCGTAACTTCAAATTAATTTATTTAGAAAAATCGAAAATTCAGGTAATGTTTGTTTGTAAAAAGTTTTGTAATAATACTTAGAATTCGATTGTGCAAAAAAAAGAAAAATTAAAAATGCATCTTTGACATTCAATATCTCGAGAACTCGTGGAGTCCCAGCTATGGTCTTAAAGAAAAAAATGATCCAAATAATGGGTAGAATACGTGGCTTTCGGCTTCGTTAAGTGTCTTTTTACACCCTGTATGATATCGACATTCCAATTCATCTTGATTTATTCAAATAACTTATTATATTTTTTTGCCAAACAGCATCAGATGACACCGAAAACAGACTCAAAAGGCGTTCAAAACAATATGATGAAGTGTACTTGTGACGCATTTACTCGTAAGGATTTCAAACTATTTAATTTAGTGTGCCTACTTTTGAAATATGATAGAATTATGATAAGAATAACGTTTTGGATACAAATATTTATTAGGCACAATAGTAACAATTTTAATATTATTTTTTATTCAAATTTAAGTTTCAAGAGACTCAAGAATCGACGAAATGCAAGAGACCATAATCACGAAGGACGCAAAATTAAATGCTATGAAAAACACTATAGCTGTGTGTATTTTATATATACCTACCTTATTGTTTTATAATCACTCATACATCATCATCATCATCATCATCATCATCATCATCATCATCATCATCAACCTATAAGTGCCCACTGCTGAGCAAAGGTCTCTTCTCATACGCAGAAGGTTGGAGCATTAATCACCACGCTTTCTTAATGCGGGTTGGCGATTTCAAACTTATAATTACAAATTATAAGTCCAAGTTTCCTCACGATGTTTACCTGCACCATATGCCAGTGGCGTCTAAATAATCATAGAAAGTACATATAACTCGGAAAAGTCACATTGGTACTTGCCAGTTTCGAACCCATACCCTCATGCAAGATAAGCGGGCTCTTTAACCTCCGGGCCACCACCTCATTTCAACTTGTCGTACATACATACCTAATAATATTTATGACTGTATTTTTTCTAAAACAGGTGATGGAAAATGATGTTTGCGAACCTTATTGCATTTATGCTCACATTTATACTGCATTGGAGAAAATATTCGCCACTCTTTGCCAAAATGAGAAATATAGACAGTACTTGAAGTTATTGGTTTGTATAAACATTGATTTCTATGTGAGTATGTGGTAAATTAACTGTTTATATTTGTGAAGTTTACTTATCTTAATTTTAGACAACCGGTAAAGATATTCTCTGTCTCGATATAAAAGGTAAAATATTATTTAAACTACTGGTATTGGAAAAATTCTGCGTTGCATTAATAGCTCCATGCACTCGAGATTTCGTTGATGAATGTGACAATAAAATCGATGATTGTGCATGCTACCGTGTTGACGTATTATCCCGTGTTAAGCCAACTTTTGCAGTAACAGCATCAGACTCAGAATCTCCTAATCTAGACAGTAAAAGGGCTCAACTTGTTGCTGACATTATACAAAATGACGAAATGAAAGAAATTTTGAGCAAAGATACCATCAAAACCGATGAAGATCTAATAGATAATGTTCGAATCATAGATGACTATAACATAGAAAGAGAAAACCTAAAACGCTTGAAAACTTTACAAGAAAATTTTGATGATTTGATGTCATGTTATGAAAAATTAAAATTGGATAAGGCGCTTTTAGAGAAGCGTTGTGAGAGGTATGAAGAAATAGAGCGTGAATTCGAAAGTTTGAAAATGCAAATGAGAGAATATGATTCTCTATGGAATGAAAAAGAGCATTATCGAAGGCGCTCTGTTGATCTTGATAGTCTTAAAGAGCAGTACCTTATATTAAGTGATGAAACTTCTGATTTGGAGACACAACTAAAAGCTCAATCTGAGATTAATCATATCAAACGTAGAGAGATGGACTCCTTACGGAACGAAAATATTTCTCTAGAGAAAAAGCTAAATGAGGCATCAATTGCTTTTGAAAAAGAGAAAAACGTTTTACTATGCAAGTTAAAGGAAGCTGAATGCAGAGTCATGTGCCAAGAACAACAGATAAAAACTTTATCCTTGCAAATTGACAAAATACTTGAACAAGATCACACTAAGGTTACTTTGAACACATATTTATTTGTTAAAATAAATAACTGCATCCATCTTACACATAATAATTTATTTTTCTTATTTTATAGCCTCTTCCAAGAGATTCGGAAAATCATACGTTATCCTTAATGGACGAACTTCAATCTTGTAAAGAACAAGTAAAAAACTTAAGGGATGCTCTATTTTGTAATGAAGAAGAAAAACAAGAGTTACAAAAGCATTACCAGGATCAAATGGAACTCATCAACAAATTAAAGTTGGAAATAGAAGATTGGAAGTGTAAGTATCTAACTATAACAATTACATGATTTATTTAAAAAATATAAATAAATCGTATGACTTCCCAATGTTATTTTAAAGATATTTATTCAATTGTAAATATTTAAGCCACATATGAAAGAACAATGCAACGCAATGAGTACTTAGAAGAGTATAAAGAAAGTTTACTAGAGGAAACCAGACTATTAAAAGAGAATTTGCACGAAAACACATCAGCTGTTGACAATTTAATGAGCGTTATCAAAAATAAATCACAAGAAATCAATAAATTAATGCAGGAAATGGAAAGGAAGAAAGATGAAAATAGAGATTTATTGGGGCAACTAAATGATTTGAGGGAAAGGTTTAGTTCCAGTCTAGATCGTATGGAAAAAGAAAAGTTACAAGCTTTACAATCACTACAAGTTACAAGACAAGAAAGCAAGGAATTATTAGATAAAATTAAAGATTATGATGAAACGATACACAAAAAAGAAGATGCAACTAAATCTTTAGAGTTGCAGCTCCAGGAAAACAAAGAAGTTCAAAATATGTTAATAGAAAAAAATAGAAATTTGGAAAAAGAGTTAACTACCCGCGATAATAATAACTCTCTTTTACTACAAGAGATTCAACGCTTACGCGAGCTAAATCAATATGCCGTCAATAATATTAATAGTCTCGAAAATGAAAACAATCAATATCAGATTTCTTTAGATCTAACACAAAAAGAAAGTGGTGAATTAAAAAATAAAATGATGTATTATGAAAATTTAAGTAATCAACTACAAAATTTACAAGAATCATATGACAAACTATTTACAGAAAAATCGCAACTCGAAAATCAGTTACTTGAAAGTGATGAACTTATTAATAGCTTACAACAATCAGAAGAATCAAAAGCAAATGAACTCTCTAGACTTACTGAACAACTGACTGCTGAAAAATATGCAGCTGATGAGGAGATTATAGAAAAAAAACGACATATAGAAAATCTTCTGCAAAATTTGGATACTTTAACTCTTGAAAAAGAACATTTATTACGTAGGTGTAAAGATGCTGATGACTTAGAACGAGAATTAGAAAATCTGAAAGTAACTTACGTTGAATTATCACATGAAAGAAGTATGCTACAAAACGATTTTGATAACAAAACAGAAGAATTTAATCATTTGTATAATACATTAGAAAATAAAATTGAAGAAAACAGAGAACTAATTGAACAGATAAAAACTTTAGAAGCAAATCAAGCTATTATTTTATCTGATGTGAAATCAGCACAAGATAGATTTCATGTAATGGAGAAAAAAAGTGACGATTTAGTGAATAGACTTAAATTTTTTGAAAATTTGGAAAAAGAATTTCAGGAAATGAAGAAAGCGCATGACGATTTAAAAATGGAAAGAGATAATTTAGAATTTAAACTAAAAATCCAACTGGATGATCTGAAGATAATGCAAGAAGAAAATGAAAATCTACAGAATGCTTTAATAGGGACAAGAACTGAGGTGAGCTATTCAGTTCGGTTTATGTATTTCTAATTTTATATTATAAGGCTGCAAACGCGCAGACGGATGACCTGATGGTTAGCAACCAGCGCCGCCCATGGACACTCATAATACCAAAGAAGTTACAACAAGTGCGTTGCCGGCCTGTTGTGGGACATAAAGGATTTGAGCATGGAGGATGGGGGGGGGGTCCGGTAAGCTCATTCACACGGCAAATCTCAACGTAAGTATTGCTTAATGCCGGTTTTCTGTAAAAATTACATACTCAAAGCTCTATTTGATTTGTTATATTAATAACTGAAAGTACGGTACTTTTTAATTTTAGCTTATTAAACAATCTACTGGATCAATAGAACCCTATAAAGATATCATGGAGGAAATCGAAACTATTCGTGAAGAGAAACAAAATAACCAGAAAAAGATTAGAGACCTGCTTGACAAATTGGAAGATGCAGTACGCATATTCACGATATAGTATTACTTTCAAAATCAGTCCAAACTAAGCCCAAAATTTAATAATATATTAGATATTTCGAAATTTAGATACGATCTAATGAATTGCTCATTACTAATATAGGGAAAAAATATTAGGTCGTGTCTAACCTTTTGCTCTCACAACAGGAAAATACTATATCTTCTCTTAGTGAGGATGTTTATGAGCGCGATAGTAAAATAGCAACTTTGCAAAACCACTTAAATGAATTAGAAGAAGAAATAACAAGACTTCACGCTAGCCTGGATGAAGTAATTGACACCGGTGAACAAATAAAAGATTTCAGTTTTCAGAAGCTTGATTCCATGAAGAATATGGAAGCCCATCGTAAGTTTTATTAATAATATAAAAGTTGTTAGTATTTGTTGAAATAAAATTAACATTAATTATTATATTTTTATTACAATATTAATCTAGACTCTCGAGCTACACACAACATGAAGAGGGAGTTAGCAAAACTACAAAATGAAAACTCTTTGCTATCAGAACAACTATCAGTAACAAGAGTACAATATGATGAGTTTTCAAGAGACAACTTTAAAATTGCATCGCAATTAAAACACCTTCAAAATGAACGTGAAATAATTGTAACTGACATAAAGCAACTCGAGCTTAAAACCGTCGGCGAGAGTGCCTTAGCACCAAACAAATGCGATGTAGAAGACATATTAGCATCGCTAGATAGAATTAGGAAATCTATTGATGCGAGATTTTTAAAAGTACAAACGTCTTCCCAACTTCTTTTAAGTAAAGCAGATGAGGCAAAGAAAATTGTTGAAAGAGAGAAACAAAAAATAATTAATGAAAAAGAAGAAGCTATTATAAGCAGACAAAATATGGAAAAACAATTATTAGAACTTAAAACGAAACTAGAAAATCAAATAGCTGACGATAAAATCGTGATGATGAATCAAAAGCTAATAAGTGATAGAAAAATTAAGTCTTCTCAAGATTACATTTCTAAATTAAAAGAAGAACTAGATGCTCTACAAAGCTTGTATAAAAATTCTGTAGAGAAAATAAGTGAACAACAAGAAAAATTGCAGAACATGACAAAGGACAAAGACAAGTTATTAGAAATGGTAGAAGAAATAAAGGCGGACTTAAGAAAGAAATCAAATGAAGTAGCTGAATTACAAAATCAGTTGGACGCTTTAATGAAAAAAACACACCGAAACATGGAAACTCAAACACATGAAGAGTTATCGTTAGCTGTCAATGGTACAGAGACCAGTTCAGGCACTAAAAATAAGCTTGATTTTATGGATAATATAAGCTTGATCGAAACAAACAAGCCACATGTGGATAAAGATCATACTCAACTTGAAATGCAGGTTGCAAGACCACATTTAGGAAATGAAGTACAAGTTTTAGCAGCCGCTGTAGAGCAACCACCTTTTGAACTTATCAAAAGTAGTTATATTGATTATAAAATGAAAAGATTAAAGCTAGGTAACTTAGAAAAACAATCTATAACTTGTTTTATTGATTCTGATAAAGAAAAAACGGAACAAGGAAAAAATAATAACTTTATTGATATTTACAATAGACAATCGATGCACACTAATTCTTCAAAAGGAAATGATGGCTCGGATAATATAATCAGAAGCAAGATTGCATCTCATAGTCTAGATAAATCGACTGGATACACAACACATGAAAGTTATGGTTCTGAGAGCAATGCGGCTAGTAAGCTAAGGGATAGTAAAATAAACGTTGTTTCAACGTCTGAAAACTCAACAGACAAAGATTTGTTTGTAATTTACAAAGACAGTGAGAGTAGCTACAATAATAATAACAAAGCACAGTCAAAAGGAACTTGGTCTGGCAAGGGCCATTCTGAAATAGTGGTTGAAGCCGTCACTGTCCTTCCCAAGAATAATACAAATAACATCGATCCTAATAATTACGGCGAAAAAAATTCTTATATTTTTCAAGAAAATGAAGAATCTATTGAAGATGATAGTGTAAGACAAAAACTGGAAATAAATTTGCCTAGAGTAGGAACAGAAAGTCCTTCAGATATTGATAAGAAATCTTTGGACTCATATACCCTTGCACTATACCCTTCAGCAAAACGCCTTTCCGATTCAGACACAAAAGTTAATGGTGAAGGTAAAACTGTAAAGCATGATACTTCCTTACCAAAAATATCTAATGATGATCAATTTATGGGCTCGTACATTTCTCTAGGAGCAGGATCAGAGGAAGATGCTATTAAACCAGGAAAAAGGAAGACTAAAGCATCGGAAACTGGCAGTAGATCTAAACAAAAACATTCCCAAAATTCTAAAAAAAGGCCATCAAGTTCAACGCCTTTTGACAGCGAGTCACATCATAAGTTGTCAAGAATAGGTGCCGATGTGCTTCTACTTAAAGCAGAACAAGATCAAAAATCTTCTCAAGCTGGTAGAAAAGACTTTGGATTGGAATACATAATGGACACTGTACTGGGTGAAGTTGATCCTAATGCGATAAAATATTATGCGACAAAAGATTTGCGCAAGACAAGGAGTGATGAGAGATTTAATTTAATAAAGATAAGAGAGAAGACGGATTCCAGCCCGTCTAGGCTAAGTGAATTCAAAATGTCATCCACAGAATACAAAACTATTTCAACTAATAGTAAAGCTAGTGACAAAAGTCCAAAGTCATTCACTGAACGTAGCATAATGGCCAAATTAGATCGTAATGACGATTACGAACTTAAAATAAGCTCCCTCACCAAAGCTTTGGAAAATATTGAAAAAGACTATAAGAAGAAAATAGAAGCTATCAAAATGCAATATGATAGTAATATCAAAAGCATTATCAATGAACACAATCAAGGTGTGAAGAGTATTCAAGGGCTTCATGAAGAAACACTACAAGATATAATAAAGCTACATGAAAACGAAGTAGAAAATTTGCGAACAATGAGTATAGAAGCAATGAGAAAGGCAGAAAAGTTGGAAAAAGAGAATCGAGCGCTGAGAACAAAGGCTATAGACTATGGGGTCTCATGTATAGATGTTGTAAGTAGAAATGACTATTACAATATTTGTTAGTGAAATTATTGAACGTGATGCGACACGCTTCATGTGCTTTAGCTGAAGAAGTATTTTTAGAAAATTTATGCTGCAACTTTGCGACGGTTACGAAAAACTATCACTTACAGTTTTGTAATTTTTTTTAGATATTTTTGCACACATGACTTTCGTTGTAAGTACAAAGTTGCATTATATTATGGACAACTTCATAAAATTGAGTTTTTTGTTGCACTAAGGAACCGATACGAATATCATCGCCCGAAACGAAGAAGCGTAAAAAATGTCGAGAGACTAGAATGCTGACAAAGACGAGCGTGAATGCTTTCAACGTAACGCCTAAGTCTCGTTCAAACGGTCCCTGCACGTGCTCCGTAGATATTAATGTGTCAGATACTATACGCAACATATTCGAACAAGTCGACATAGAACAACGCAAAATGGCTGAACACACGTACCTTAAATACATTGCCAACAAGATTCTGAGTGGGAGCATAGATGTGAGAATAATTTTAAACCTTTTAACCAACACATTACCTAATTTTTTGCTTATTTTTTATTTTTATCGTGGTTATTATTTGCACCCATTATTATTTTATGAATTGCATTCGCACTAGCTTTTCAGAGCCTTATCTTGCTTAACCAAATAAAATCCGAATATTAACGTTTAGTTTGGATTAAAGATTGCTTTGAGCTTTTTGTCAGGTGTTGTTGCTTTGTGTTGCTGTTTCCACGGAGGTTAGAGTTAAAAGCAACCTATATTAGAAACGTCCACAGATCATACACCTAGTAATTGATCACACCTATTATAATTATTTTAGGGACCGTTCAAGCTGGATGGTCTTCAAGCTTTAGATACTCAAGAGCTATCATTTCTACACCTAAAGGTATGCCGTATGTGGAAAACTAAGCTCAACAAAGAAGAAGATTTTAAAAAAAGGATAGATTCTTTGGAAAGCGAACTGATAAGCAAACAGCGGAATACGCAACAACACAGTAAGTTTTGGTGTTCAAAATTATTACTACTATAACTAGTCAAATTCAATACTTTTATCCATATAAATGTCAAAAACGAAACTTGTATGAATTTAGTATGGAAAACAGAAATCGAAGTGACGTCATCATGATATTGGGTCAAATGGCATACATTTTTCTTGAAATGTAACCAATAAAAATCTAAAATTAAGTACATCGTCATCCATCAATTAAATGCGGTTATTTTTGAATATTTGATTGTTTTGAAATCTTGAACGAGTTTATTTTTGACCAAGAAAAATACCCATTATTTTCCTTGTTTTGTTAAGGTGGTCTATGTAAAGCATGTTATCAAAAAGCCAATTTATTGAACCTCCCTTATGTCTATTATATTGAAACTTCTTGGATGACTTAATTTTTTTTTATGACGTCTGCAATGTTTCTAATTTTAAAATCCTTTACTGTTGTTTATGTTAAGTATATTGGTCAATGGTGGTAGTTTGATGTTGATACTTCTTAATACAGTTGCGGAATTAGACCGTAAAGTAGCGGAGGAGCGTCGCCGCCTACAAGAGGTTCGTGAAGCGGTCTGTCGCAGCTCTCCTATTGATGCTAGAACCTGTAGTCCAGAGGTTACATTCCATTATGCACCCCCTCCAAACCCAGAAAAAGAGAGGTATAAAACATGTTTATTTTTCACCGACATTACATTAGTTTTTTAACGCTGCCCTCTGCTACGGGCAATAATCGAACCCAACGGAGGATACAGCCTTTTTAACGGTGTTTGTATCGGTAGCTGGAGACGTAACTGAATTCCACTATTATATTTTGATCTCTTCTATACAAAATGGCAGTTTGATACTAAACCTATACTATAAACGTGTCGTGTTTAGATTTGTGTGAAAATCCAAATCTTCAAATTATTCGATGATATGGTGATTATTACTTTAGGACTTATCAAATCCGCAATACTTTTTACAGTCCCTATTTTTTATCTGAAGAGACTGGCCGTCTTCATCTGTTATATAATTAATTATATTTATATAAAAAAAAATTGTTTAGTTGTGGAGGCTGTACCCAAAGAGCCAGTATCGAAGCGGGCGGGCGTAGATCCGCTGGAGATCTTGCTCCGGAACTGACGAACAGCTTAAAGCCACGTCGCATACGACCCGAAAATAATAAGGTAAATGTTGCATTACTTAATCTCTTTAGGAAAGAAGATTTAATTATTAACCGGAGAAGCTATACAAATAATGCCTTACACGAGGTCACACAAGACAGTCAAAATTTCAGTCACGGGAGGCCCGAACTGATGTTTCTTCAAGGAGATTTTTCTGGGGCTATCCCATGACACACTTTATCATGAGTTTGCGTTCACTTTAATAGGTACGAAGGTAAAAACATCTCAGATGGTTGCTGGAACAAACGAATTTATGTATCGCTTGAGCAGGAGAATGAAATAGGTGTTTTCAGTCAGTAAGAGTCGGACACTCCGCTTGCTCCATCCAGGGCAAAAAAGTAATTTAATGAAATTCCTATCAAAAAATCTACAACCCAGATCAAATGATATTTTGAAGTACTACTATATTTCAGCTCTGGTAGCATAACCGCAACATACAAAAGTATAACGAAATAATCCAAAACGACACTAAACTCAGTACCCCTTCACCGACACAAAACATCTAAACCTTTTGTCTTGAGTTTAGCAGTTCTCCGAAATCGTCCTCAAAGTTTAGGTACTCTAGCTTTTGCCCGCGACTTTGTTTGCGTGGAATAGTGACTTCCTGCAGATTTCTGGTTAAAAAACTATCCTATATTAACTTGCGGCTCGCAGCGTGCGCGACGTGCATCCGCGCACGCTGCTCATGAGGAAGAACCCCTCTGTGGTTCGAAACTAGTGGAGCTTTTCTCAATTATACACGTGAGTAACCCGCGATTTTTAGTTAATTTAGTATGTCTCACGATAGTTGTTATAAAAACTATCCTGTCCTTTTTCGAGTTCCAAACTATGTCTGTACCAAATTTCACACAAATAGGTTCAGTAGTTTAGGCGTGAAGAAAATACAGACAGACAGAGTTACTTTCGAATTTATAATATTAGTTTGGATTAAACGATTTAGTCAAAACTTTTTGTTTCATATCCCAGGTGACTCCCACGAGAGCTGACGTTGATGAACGTCGGGAGCGAAAACTATACCACGACGAACCTCCAACTCGGCTGCGTCGGTCCCATGACCGACAAGGGCAGCGATCTAGTAAAAAGTAAAATATACAAAGTGAGTTGGCATTCTGCACGAGGTATTCGAAAGTACAGAATGTCGATTTCTTAACACCTCAAGGACTTGACTTAGACCGGAGTCACTTCTTCTCTTTCGGAAGGATCCGTCGCGATTAATGGAAGGGCGCTGGAAACATATCAAGCGATGGGAGGGGGTAACAGTCATTTGCAATTGAAACTCGATTTACATACACGGCGTCGGTGTGCCGCTGTGAATGTTTTGTAAAAAAAAATGTGATAAATTTCTATATTTTATATGTTTTTATTAATATAATTTTACATATTTATTTCGAATTAAAAGGGGGAAACTGTAACCATGTTTTGGTAATAAAAACTAAACGTTAAAAACAGCTTTTAGATCTTTGTGTTTCACAACTTTTGTTTATATCGATATAAGCGATGAAATTATATTTATTTGGATGAAGAGGGTCAAAAAATAAAACACAATTTACAATATTTTTGTGTGAACTGGGAATTAATGTTTATTTTCCTTGCATTCAAATTATTTATAGGACTAACATATTATAATAATATACAATTGTCCTTATTTGGAACATCAGCTTACGTAATACACTGGTTATTGTATACGGGATTCGAGAAATTGATGGACGGGTCTTGGTACAAAGGATTTTGAGAAACATCGTAGCCGGCGGCCAAAGCTTCGTCCTGGAACTTCTTGTATTCTTTTTTGTCGTGTATATCTACTAGAATCTTCCAGATAATAACGGTTAGTATTCCGATCAAGAGAACCAGGCCTATCGCAGAGCCAGCAGCAACTGTAAACAATTCAACCGTTTTGATGTACACATGCAACCATAATATACAATAGCTAAATAAAAACGTAACTACGTTTAAGAACTGAAAATCTTGAGTGAATAGTTAAAAAACAATTGCCTAACGCTTTCGGAAAATAATTTTGTATATGAGCTGTCTATACATAATTGGTTTCTAGGAACTATACGTTTGTCAGGCACATTGAGTATCGCGATGTACAAACTTCAAATATTGAGGGCACTGCTTCCTTGGGTGCTCTTACGACAGTTACAACACAGTTCTGCAAGAGCCAAATATATTCTAGTCTTCTGTTAGCACGATTCTACAGCACAACGAATACTTACTCCAAATGTTAGCCTTGGGTGGTGATTCCAATTCTTCTTGGATCGCAATCTTCAAGTCATGATTAACGTATTGGTACCTGAATACCACGTAACTTCCATTTTTATTTTCCAGTTCTGTCTTGCACCACTTAGCCGTAAACAGTTTTGGTCCATTTATCTCTTTTTTGTTCATAAATTCGACTATGATGTTCGATACTTTGCTTCCTTGATCAGCGTCGCAAATAGCCTTGTTGTCTTTGTGGATATAATTACAGTAGGCATAGTCTTGTAGTTCCGTACATCGCGCTGCGGCGCATTCGTCACAACTGTCGCAAAATACACCAGAATAAGTTTCATTTTTGCCCTTTATTGTATCACATACGCATGCACCACAAATGCATTTGCCTTTTCCAGAACATGCCTGAAATAACAAAAATGGATTAAAGATCTGAAGCTTGAGTTTATACAATATGAGTTAATTAACCACAAGTTATCAAGGCTGTAGGTAGTAGTAGGCTGCGCGACGTCGCCGCGTCCGCGCACGCTGCTCATGAGGAAGAACCCCTCTGTGGTTCGAAACTAGTAGAGCTTTTCTCAATATATATACGTGAGTAACACGCGATTTTTAGTTAAGTTATCAATCGTCTAATAATAAACATCTTGGACATCAGTACATATTTTTCAAAAGAATATTTGTTTTTGGGGATCGACAGTAAGTCTATACATATATATCTATATGGCCCGTTTCTAAAACCGAGTGTCTATTGATTTACCTCAGTGGCGTATGGCGCGTAACAATCTTTGTCGTCATTTTTGCAACTGCAATCCTTCTCACTATATCCGATGTCACAAGAACACTGCCCTTTGATACATCTGCCGTGTCCAAAACAAAGCTGGTTGTTTGGTTTAGGGCAAGAGTTATCATCAAACTCGCAGAAATTGCCCGAGAAACCATTCTGGCATTCACATTGTCCACATCTAAATAAAATGAAACGTAATTTATTATGTTTTCGGCTTACCCACGTAATAATTTGACGAGATACTCGACTAGTTTCGTGAATAAGCCGAAATTAGTTAATTACGTGAGTAGAGTAAGCCGAAAACATAATAAATAATTTAGAATGTCTCACGAAAGTTATAAGAAAAATGAAAAGTGTTATGAAATAAAAATAAAAGTGTTATAACATACACCTAAAATGTTTACCTTATAGCGTCTGTTCTTACTTATCAAATATCTAACAGAAGTTTGATTTGTACTTTATATGTTTTAATATTTGGTCCGTGGTGACCCAATGGTTAAGGCCACCGCTTCTCATGCATGAGTATGCGGGTTCGAATCCTGGCAAGTACCTACGTGACTTTTTCCGAGTTATTTTTTTGGAAAACGTTGCCCCACACTAGGATTTTCTCCTGTGTCGTGGGTGCGGTTACAAACATACAATTTCACATGCACATGACACCCAAACCCGGAACAACAATTTGTGGGTCACACAAAGAGTTCCGTGCGGGAATTGAACCCGCGACACGTTGCACGGCGCTAGTTGCCCAGCCACAGCATCAAGCGTGCAGTCAAAGTTATGTTACAGTTATGTGTACTTTTTTCGATTATTTTGACACCAGGGACATAGGTGAAGGAAAACATCCACGGTAAACAATGACATGAAATCGCCAATCCGTCTTGAGCAAGTATGGTGATTAATGCTTAAATCTCTTCGTATGAGAAGAGGAGGCCTTTGCTCAGCAGTGACAGGCTGATGATGTGTAATATTTTATACTTACTTGCAAATTCCTCTACCACTGCATAATTTGGCGTCGCTACTTATTTTACATTTCTCCATATCGCGCTGGTCCGTGGAAGAGCCATTGCACCGACAGTCGTTACCATAACTATAAAAAGAAACTTAAATCTTATATACACAGTTTTTTATTTTACAAACCTGTTCACAATGTCTTGATCTGGCTACTTTGTATCAGACACATTTTAATGGAGAATATTATATTATTAGTATGAAAATGTGTCCTTAGATACAATAAAATATAACACTCAATTGAACTACATCTCATTGATCGGACGTTATTATAAAAATGCAGTATATTGATACATTACCTCCCCGGTAGACATTTGCAAATTCCACACTGAATAAAACCACTGCCGTGGCAAATATCTGGTACTATGGCGCCGTTTTCCTTCTCACAGCTACATTCGCAAGCAATGTCTAATTCAATCCTGAGGTTTTCGCGCAAACCATAGGGATTAAGGGTGACTATGTGTTTATTTTTGCTACTTGGTTTAGGACATGACTTTACAACTAGTGTTCCATTGATGGTAAGCTGCTTTTTGTGTTGAACTAAACAATTCTTTTTTGGTACTGAATTACAATCCTGATCAATAGTCACATTCACAAACGGTGGCGCCTTGTGCATTATTTGTATAGTGTTTGAAAGTTCCTAAAACAGAAATTAGGCACGTATATAATTTTTATCCCTACCGAGGCCATATGACCGAAATCAGGCTAGTTGGCCTGATAATTTAACAGGTCTTATTTCCAATAGCAACCTGATGCAAGGATGATTTGGCCCCTCCTTTGCCGCTCTCAAGGTAGGTTATTACAATGAATGATAACTTTATTAAAAAGCAAGAGAGCAACGCAAGCAAAGATTCCTTCATCAATGACTTACCTCGTAAGCTTGTTTGATAATTTTTATGACACTGTCACCTCCTTCCAACCTTGCAAAAGTAGCTCCAGTTATTTGTCTGGCTAAGTTTTTATATTCAGTTTCAGGAATTTTCTAAAATATTGATGTAGAAAATGTTAATAGGTATTTTAAGATGTGTATATATGCTTTAACGTGTATATTTGCTACGTGACATTTTTTTTATAAAAACGTTAGAAAATCCTAAAGTGGGGGGCACTTTAGGATTTTCTCCTGTGTTGTGGGTGCGTTTACAAACATATGTCACAAACACAACGACACCCAGACCCGAAACAACAATTTTCGGATCACACAAAGTATGTTGTTCCGTGCGGGAATCGAACCCGCGACACGTTGCACGGCAGCCAGTTGCCCAGCCACCGCACCAACCGTGCAGTCAAGCTCGTTGAAAGCTGTAAGTAGTAGAAAGAACTCAAACATTAATTCTAAGCAATATTCGATATTCTGTAGAAATAAACGTAATTATTCATAGGTACATACGAACTTACATGAGTAATATTGTTTTCGGCTATAGCAAATATTATTCTGAAGTTTTCATCTGTTGCCACTTTATTAATTTGGCTGACTGAAGGATAGTCATATGTTAGGGCTTCGGTATACACATTATTCTTCAAATGGCACTGCATGTCATGGGGTTTGATAGCCCCTACAATTTTACCATCACCTGCACTGTGATACGGAGCATCTGTACTCATGATAATAATACGTCTGGCATGCTCTCTCCATTGAATTTCTTCGCGACATGTCATGGCCTGCATCAGCCCATCTAAACCAGCTTCACGATCATCAAAATTTGATCCAAACTTTATGTTTTCTATAGTAGAAATAAATAATTTCATGTTGTCCGTTAAGGAAATATGATTTCTAAATGCGTGGCTTGTGTGCCTAAAATGAGTTCAAAATAAATTATTGGCATTTTAAATCGAAAAGTATAAACTGGTGTTGCGTTATAAGCGCCATAATGTTTCACGGTTTCGAAGCAGAAGAAGGAACGGGATGATTTTTAATCTGTAATAATCTGACACTCCCTCTTGCCCTGCCCCAGCCAAGGCGTGAAAAAATTGCATTGTCAAAGGGCATGTAGAAAATAATGTTATGGGCAACTATTAGTAAGAATACTGATAAATATCCTGGTCTTTTCTTATTGACTTACCTTATAGGATCTACATACGGGAACCCAGGTTTTTCGACGAAACTTCCAATACCCAATCTTACATTATTCGTGTACACTGATAGATCTTTGTATATTTTTAGTGCTTGCTGTTTCAAATCTTTTAAATTGGTTTGCATCGTATAAGAAATATCCATAAGATAGTATACGTCTAAAGGGTAATCTTTAGCGGGTTTGAAATGCATTGTAAAGTCCACAGGCTCTCCTGGCCTTACTTTGACCTTGATAACTTGAGGCTTTATTTGCACCTGCGATCCGTTTTTATTTTCTGCAAATTGTTTATCTTCTGCGACAACCATTTCAAATTTCGGATTTTGTATGTATTCGGGTTTGCACCAACTCGAACCGACTTCTTTGGTTGCAGAAAGCGACTTGAGAGATCGGCATCTTGGTCCCGTGATGCCATCCTAAAACAAAAATCAGCAAGAAATTTGACATTGTTCAGACCCTTGGACTCCCACTAATATTTAGGTAGGTACAATAACACCCACAATAAAAAAAAAATTGGCAAAATAAGTTTAGGTATTGTTGAGTTATGCGCGTATCAACGTTATTGGTTATTGAATTAACGTTTCTTAAGTAAAGTAAATAAAATATCGACCTTACTTAAAATGGGTTGGGCGTGGTACGCTATACTTCTAACGGACTTAATAGCTTTATTGTTTCCCTAACAACACCGATTATTATAATAATTCTAAACTAAGCACTCTACCTATGTGATCAAATTGTCTGAGCATTTATCAAAAGTAAAAAACACGCAGCACTCTCAGGAGCAGGTTCTTGCAGAATCACCAACCTTGTTATAGCTAGATACATACATAGGTAGACAAAACGCTACACTGCTTTATCATAATTTAAAAATGAGAATACTTACTTGAGCACACCAGACGCATTTTTCTTCCGCATAACTAATGCATTCGCCACAAGTATCAAAGTTACATGATCTTACATTATTGATATAAGAAATTATTAATATTAAAAATAAGTTTAACCTAATTTGCATTAGGATATTCATGTTCTTAAGCCCTAGGTTGGACCAGTCCAGCCTCAAAACTAGTGCCTGCTAAATGAGCGATCGAATAAGTCTGTATTAATTAATAAACATAATAAGACTGATTTGTATAGTTCAATTTAAAACGCCCATCGGTTAGAAGGAAAAAGCTATTAGGAAATCCATACAATTATAAAGCAATGTTTAGATACATTTACAAACTTATTCTAATATCTGTTCTGTTAAAATTAGGCCATCCTTAAGGTGCGTAGTTCTTATTTTTTGCCTTTTGTATTATGTAAATGTTTGATCATAAATAAGGTCTGACACAGATCGAAACAACAACAGCCCTTGTCAGTCCGCTGTTGGACACTAGACATGCTCTTCACGATATTACTTTGATACCTTCATGTTAAGCAGCTGAGTTTTTTTATAGCAGTTTAAGTGTGGGAGAACCATGCTTCGGCACGAATGGGTCGGCTCAACCGGAGTGATACCACGGCCTCACAGAAAACCGGCGCGAAACAACCACAGCGTTGTGTTTTGCCATGTGAGTGAGGTTACCGGAGGCCCAATCCTTCCCCACCCCCAATCCCTCTTCAATCCCTAAATCTCCAAATCCCTAATCCCTGAAATGTCGGCAACGCACTCGTAACTCCTACGTTGCGGTGTCCATGGTCGTCGTTTGCCGATCTATTACATAAAAATAAGTTTAAAGTCTTAGACTTATCAAAGTGCTACTGATTTTCCTACGCGAATCAGAAAACATACGAGATCTTTGTATTCCCGACGAGCATTGACCATATTAGATAATGACAGTCCATATTAGAAGTACAAATATCCATCACCTTAATAGTCTAGCGGCTTGGCTAGAACGCTCATGAAAATGTTCGTAGCTATGTTTGCTTGTAACCTGCAGTGCTATTCTGTAAATGGTAAATCTCATCTCGAAAGTCACACACCACTTCGCTTCTCATCTTGTCTGTACACACATGTCAAATTACTCACTTGTTTCAGATCCTTTCCCATGTAGATAAAACGAAACTTAAAAAATAAACATGATTTCATCGCGGATTCAGAAGTGATTTCGCAAATTAACTTTTGTGAATAGCATAGCTGAGCTCGGCTCGTCGTTTAGCACTGCGAAAGCTCTATGTTGTATATCAAGTTAATGCTCAGGTCAGCCATCAGCTTTGGTCAGCTTTGGTATATATATATTCCTATATTCAACGCGACTGCTGTTAAATAAAAGATTAAGTGTGTGATCTCGGCTTTAGCGCACCATATTATCCTTATTGTACATTTAATAGGTAGCAATCCATGTTATCCTTATGACATGTTTATATTTTTAGCATCGGCCTAACAGCCACCATGTCTTCCAAGTGCCTGTTAATTTATTTATTAACCTTTAGTTTACAATTCTACCTCAGTTTCGCCTCAGATATTTGTCAACAGAAAACTTGTCAAGAATGTATCAGAGATCCTCATGTTTGTGTGTGGTGCGCTATGGTAAATATATCCTCATAAAATTTTATTTTATAGTATTTGCAGCTATTTCGGTTGCAGGCCATTTTTGACAGTATTTAATGCAACATGGCCTTAATATAAAATAAGTATGCTAATTACGTTATTAAAGTAACATCGCAATAGCAGTTATAATTATGTAAACTATGACTGTTGAATCCTGTGGTTGAATCTGTAATTTTTACGTTAACGCGATCTAAAAAATTTTCGCGTTTAGCCCTCTGATTGGGTAGTTAAATCAGATCATTTATATTCATAATCAGCTCTATCGCCTTAATGTAATAGTCCACTCATTATAGTAACCTTGAAACCTTGTGACCTTGAAATTTAATAGTTGTGTACACCCTACCGTATGTCGGTTTTGAGACAACTTTTAGGGTGTCAATACACAATTATTTGCAGACTTACTGTGAATTCCGAGAATTTTGCCAAATTTAAGCTTAATTGACTGGACTAAAAGGAAACTCGTAGGTAGGTACTCTGACTTTTTGTCACAATTATCACAAAACATCATATCAACATTAATAATAACGTAGACGTAACACTACAAGTAGACTTTCATCATTGTAAGGCATCGTAGTCGATGAAATAACCACTTCTTAATCTGTTTGTATAATATTTTCAGAACAACTTCAATGGCACAAGAAGATGCATGCCTCGGGATTCGTACACCAACGACTGGTGTCCAGAATCTCTACAGAATCCAATAAACGTAGTTACCGAAGCGGAAAGTAAAGAATTTAGTTCCAGTTCGGATAACGTTATTCAGATTAAGCCACAGCGTTATAAGTTAAATCTTCGACCTGGAGTACCAGAATCTTTTAAATTTTCATTCCAGGGGGCTAAAGATTTTCCAGTGGACTTGTATTTTCTTCTAGATGCTTCAACTACAATGGCTAATATCAGAGATATGACTGCTAAACATAGTGAAAAAATATATTTGTCCATTAAAGAAATGACTAAGAACGTTCACCTGGGGTTTGGTACTTTTATAGACAAACGAGTGTTGCCTTTTACGAACAAGTGAGTCTATCAAATTTATTATAATATTATGTTTATGCCTTTGTAGAGGTTATAGCAAAAGTGTTTACATAAAATGAAATATACAAATTCAATTAATTGTATCACAACTTAGGTATAATTTTGTCCTGCTAACCAGCTTATCAATTATTTTTGCTCCAGCACTTTCGACACAGAATTAACGTATTCGTTTCGACATCGTATGAAATTAGCTGATGATTTCAATAAATTTAAAGATGTAGTGTCTAAAACCCCTAGTGGTCTAAATCGTGATTCCCAAGAAGGCGGCCTTGATGCTCTTGCTCAAGTACTTACCTGCACAAATGTTATTGGTTGGAGAAAAGAATCAAGAAAAATTGTTGTTTTCTTAACTGAAGGACCATACCACACGGCTGGAGATGGCAAAACTGCAGGTTTATTTAAACCATATGATGGTAAATGTTATACTGAAAATGTAACTTACACCAAAGAGCTAGAAATGGACTATCCGTCTGTGGGCATGATAAACAAATTAGCAACCGAAAGTGATATTATTGTCATTTTCGTAGTAGATTCTCGTGTTAAAGATGTCTACCAAGGACTAAGTAAGGCCATAAGTGGTTCAAGACTTACGGAATTTAATCGTATTGGGAAAGGAACCAACGATGAAATGATAGTGCATGTTTTAAAAGATATTTACACGGTAAGGACATATTTTATACCTAATTGTCACCAATAGCCTTTGCAATCGTCACTGTCATTTTTAAATATTGTTTGTATTTCATTCCCAGAAAATTTCCAAAAAAATTAAACTGAAAACGAAAGTTAAGTCAGGACGGAAGAAGGATTTGAGTATTTCTTTCGATCCAGACTGTACTACCAACCTTAATATCAAAGAGTGTGACGTAGAAATTGGTAAAGAAAGTCATTTAGTTGGAACAGTGCGGTACGATGGCACTGAAGACGTTACCCTAGACATCATAGTTGAAGGCATTGGTGAGAAACTTACACTTGACATAGAATCTATTAAAAGCTGTGAATGTGAAAAGAATGTGGAACTTAGAGCTGATTATTGTCATGGAGAAGCCCGGTTTTGTGGAATATGCCATTGCAGCGATAAGAGGTATGTTTGTGTGAACATGTACATATATAAAATAGTATTTTCTTAATGTTTCTAATACTATTCATTTATAATTGATGAAAACCACCAATAAACTGTGCATTTCTACCTACCTTTATAGTGAAGCATTGTATAAAAATATTTTGTTCTATTTTTCTCAGGTATGGTGATAGATGTGCTTGTGTCAAAAGCGAAAGAAATATTTACAATGACAATTCGACCTGCATAGCTGCTGGGAGCAAGGACATCTGCAGCAGACATGGCATTTGCAACTGTGGCTCCTGTGAATGTTTGGATAGGTACCATCATATTTTTAACAGGAATGTGTAGACAGACAGACAGACAGTTTAAATGTGAGAGAACCATGCCTTTCGGCACGAATGGTAAAACAACCACAGCTTTATGTTTCACCGTGTGAGTGAGGTTACTGGAGGTCCAATCCTTTCCCAATCCTAAAATCTCCAAATCCGTACTGCCCAAAAGGCCGTCGTTAGCCGTCCAATCACATTAAAAAAGACAGGTTTAAATGTTATTTTAATACTTATTTTATGCAAGTTTTATACTGGTAAGTTTTATATTTAAACCTTCCCCGCCCCCAATCCCTCCTCAATCCCTAAATCTTTAAATCCCTAATGCCTAATGAAACAATGAATATATTTATGCAAATAGGTTATAAAACGGCACTTTTACACGTCAAATTATATGTAAAAAACTAGATGAAGCCAGCATTTCCTATCTGACAACTCTGAGAAGAAATGCCGAAACAAACTCAGAAGTCAGTCTCTTTTCAAGTCCAGACAATGAAAAATAACATAATGTGAGATAACCGTCTAAAAAGTCAGCAATGCACTCGTAACTCCTGCGTTGTGGATGTCCATGGGCGGCGCTGATTGCTTACCATCAGGTAATCAGTCTGCTCGTTTGCCGACCTATTACATAAAAAAATATACCCAAGTAACGTTAGGTTAATGTTTTTAAACGACGCTCGAACTGTAGCATCGTAACATCATTTACCAAAATCAACATTCATTCTTCATTTACCAAAATTATCACTTTTAAAACCCAGATATCATTATTGATAGTTGGGTACCCGCTAGTTGCAAATGAAGTGAAGAAATGTGTATTTGTGTGCACCATAAATTGTTGCTCCTAATCTAGATATGGTGTGGTGTATATCTGTCTGTTTAAAAATACACTCACAATACTAGACAAAATCTCAATCAGGGACGTTTTTTCTAAAGAATAATTGTTACAGTTTGGATGACCCCTTTTATACAATCTGAAAACTTTTAAAACTGAGTCTTATCATCCAGGTACGAAGGTGAATTTTGTGAATGCAACGTAGACAGCTGTCCGCGTAGTGCGAAGAGTGGTGAAGTTTGCAATGGTCAGTTGCATGGGAAATGTAACTGCGGGAAGTGCAAGTGTGCGCCGAACTGGTCCGGTGACGCCTGCGACTGTTACGACTCCGACGTGTATTGTAAGGGAAGCGATGGTAGTGTGAGTATACATATACTTAGTTTTTAATATATATAAAACGTTGCCCTAAACTAGTAATTTCTCCTTTGTCGTGGGTGCCATCACACCCGGACCCGGAACAACAATTTGTAAATCATACAAAAAGTTGTTCAGAGCGAGAATCGAACCCGCAACAAGCGCGGTCGCCAGTTGCCCAGCCACCGCGCCAATCGTGTACTCAATAGTTGATATATCTTAGTTCTTAAAACTTAATTTCGCTCAATTATCCAATAATTTGAGTGGCTCGAGCAGTGATAGACTCCTACTGACTAAAAGTAACACCGTGCCTTCTCCTGTTGCGATCGCGTTAGTTCATTGCACTTTGTCAGCAAAGACAGTTGAGTATCGACCATTAGTAGATCGGCACAGAACTCAAATCGTCGAATTTACTAGTTGGCTAATGCCCGGTTCCTATAATTGAGAAACGATCCGTTTTAGTTACGAATAGTAGTTTTATATACGACTCGTAAGCTAAAACCGTTCCTATAACAAACGTCTCGTCGTGAAACTTACTGACGGTTTGCAACTAACGGATGTCGGTAAGCGAATTGTATGGAGATCTATGGTGTCTGTGGTGTTCCTATAAATATTTTAACCGTCAGTAGACGGTCAAGATAACTATTCGTAATGTCATTTGGTCGTAATGCGTATACAACGACGATTCGTTAAATATAGGAACCGGGCATAAGTCGTGAATTCGGTACCTTTAACATTATTCAGTATTCGAATATCGAAATTCTCAGTGCACCGCGAGATTTACAAAACCGCTGTATGAAAGCTCAGCTAGAGATAGGATCTAAAACCAAATATGACTAAACGTTTTCCTCCCATTAGAGAATTGTTAAGATTTATTAAGTGGATACATTTCTTTAAAAAACAAAAAACATTAAAAAAAGTATGATTTATTTCCAGATTTGCCACAATCGCGGCGAATGCGTTTGTGGCGCTTGTCAGTGCTCACAAATTGCCGAATGGGACGCCCGTAATAGCCAGGATCCGTATTGCCAAGTGTCACCCTGTACTGACTGCCACGATCTTCAGTGTAGGAAACTGTCAAACTGCGCCAAAGGTCGCAGAATCGGCAAGGATGAATGCAACAATGACCGTATTAAAATCACTGTCGTAGATAAACTAAGCGATGACCTCGATTTTATGGATGTATGGAATTTATGCAGTAACATCAAAGTGGAAGACAATTGCAATACTAGCTTCTACTACCGGTACAACGATACTGATTACAGTATCGAAGTTATCATTGCCAGGAATAAGGATTGTGCTCCGAATTATTTTAGTAAGTATTATTGTTACCAGATAGGGAAATATACCAACACAAACAAGCATAATGCATCGCCTGATTTTCAATAATAACTAACCACCAGGAATACACGAAAATGCGTTGCCGTTGTTTTGATAGATTTTTTTTTTACGTTTGTTTTGACTTCTTCCACCCTGGGTGAGACGAAAGAGTGTCGGTTCTCTGTTTCTTACTGACTACAACCACCCCGTCCTCTCTGCTACGAGCCGGAGTCACGAATAGGTCGGCTAGACCGGAATGATAAAATGGCCTCACAGGAAACCGGCGTGAAACAACCACAGCGTTGGGTTTCACCGTGTGAGTGAGTTTACCGGAGACCCGAACCTTGTCCCCCATCCCTCTCCAATCCCCAAATCTCCGAAACCTTAATCCCCAAAGGGCCAGGAACGCACTCTTAATCTTCTTGTGTTGCGGATGTCCACGGGCATCGCCATTTGCTTAACATCAGGGAATTCGTCTGTTCGTATATCACATAAAAAAAAATCTGTATTTTTCAGTGTTTGGTGGCCTCTTTCTCCTGACGCTTTTAATAGTGGGAATTGGTACTTTAGTCGCCTGGAAGCTTCTCACAGACGCGAAAGATCGTCATGAGTACCTCCAATTCTTACAACAAAACAAGCTTGATGCTTCTGGACCAAGCACCAACCCCTTATATGAATCGCCAACGACTACGTTCAACAATCCAGCTTTCAGGAAAAAATCTATCGATCATAAATAGTAGTGAAAATGTGCTATTCATTTTCTGTCTTATGATAAAGAAAATAAAGTTTATTGTTATTAACTTTGAATAAATTAGTAGTAAAAAAAGTGAGTTGATTTTGTGTTTTGAGTTTTTTTTAATACACTTATTAGTATTCCTCTGTCATGAGTGAATCGAGACTTATCTAATATAAATATTACATTTTATACATAGTTCTTATTATGGATTTTTACTGAACGTGTATATTTATATGATGAGAATAGAATAAAAAAATGAAACAGTATTTCTTGTTTTATTTTGCGTACCTATACGTCTAGATATCACGATGTCTCTACGATTTATATATTATTGGCGTAGGTATACATGTATTTATTCCGCCGGGGGGTTGCGGTCGGTCAGCTGATGGTTCGCGGCTAGCGCAAGAAGTTGAATCAGCGGCAGGAACAGGGGGTTTTTAGTCAGTAGAGTCTAACAATCCCTCTCGCCTCACCCTGGGTGAGTGAAGTCATTGGATGATCGTCCTTTCCCAAAAAAAGGTAAATATGTATAGTATATAGGCCAGTCATTTGCTAGTATTACCTTAACAATATCACCATTTTTATATTTTTGCCATGTTGGGAAACAATAACAATAATAAACAGTACAATAATACTAATGGGTTTATTTATTCCGATAACTGAGATTTATTAAGAATCAAAATAAAAACTAATTGAATAAGCAATAGTAAGCAAGGACTTAGTCCCCTGTACTAATTTCCACATTATGGGACAATCAAGCTAATCAGCTATAGCACTTAGGATACTGTGGCGACTTCCAAGCAACCGGTTGATGAAAGATGCCCTCCTTTTGCGCCATAACGCAGCGAAGCTATCAGTATGGGCATCAGCAAACATTGCTCATGCACTACAGAAACGTGGAAGCCGCAACAACGCCCTGAACCATTGTTGTACTGGACCCGCAGAGTATTGGCAGCTCTCTGGGTGTAGTTGACCTACAGACTTCCCGTGTACAGCGAGATGCAATACGCCTTGAACAAAGTTTTTTTTTACTGCGTCTGTAGGTACAACGAGAGAATATGTTGGCACGCACAACATATTGTCTCCATGTCAACATTGTCACTCAAATCATCGGTAACCCAGTGCCCCAGATATTTAAATTGATATACCCTGTTTGAAGGTACGCCGTTTTACAAAATCGGCTGTACAGGCGGCTTCTTGGGTCCCGACCTAAAAACCATGTAAACAGTCTTATTCACATTATATTGTAGCCCGTGTCAAGCTACAATAGACTCACAGACCACAAGTAACTTCCAGAGAGGTCCCATCGACGACGCCAGCAGCACCATGTCATCCCCATAGCTAAAGTTGTTACAGCAAATACCATCAACATTGCAGCCGACATGCATGCCGCTTAGCTCTTCAACGAGGCCATTTACGTGCAGGATGAAGAGGTGCAACTGTATGTGCTTGGTGAAATGTGAATTGAGCACACTGTCAAGCACCTTGGTAACAACGGTCGCTAGGGAAATTGGTCTATAGTTATTCCTATTTGCCATATTTCCCGTCCCTATTTCGGTATAGGTGCTACTAAGTCCGCATCAGTTCATGAGGAAGGTACGCGAGGCCTATACAAAAGTTAAAAAACATTGCAAGCACTCGAGGCAAATGATATCTCAAATGTTCAAGACTCAAATCCATCATGGCCAGGTGATCGGCCACCTGTCATTTTACTAATAGCAATTTTGACATCTTTCGCTAGAACCACCGTACAAATATCAGTATTATGACAGGCGCTAAACCCCCGACTCGCTGGACCCGGCGTTGACTTTATAGAGAAATAATCTTTAAACATATTGGCTATATCTTTTGGAGTGGAAACACCATCGACACTTACAGGAATACTAGGCTTTGAGCTTAAACTGTTAGTATATTTCCAAAACTTGTTGAAATCTGAACAAGTACAATGCTTGGCTAGAATGTCCATTTTAATTTAATCTTGGTTATTTGACACCATTTCAGCGTACTCTTAAAATTTTAACGTGCCTGTATCATGCATGTCATTAAAAATTTCATTTTGAATTGGTTTACCATTGAGTATCCATGTTCTACATTTTAGCCTAGCATTACTGTATCTACATGTTTATTCCATCCCGCTAACAACTTCTTACGGCTATTTTTGTTTACACAAGCCGCCTCAGATGGCGGCGGCGACTCTCGCGCCCGGCCTTAGTCGAGGCCATGGTGCGGAGTGAGAGGAACTGGGACGCCGTCTCCTCCTTTTGTGAAGCTGTCATGCTCGCAAAGAGAGAGCCCGCGTGAGGGAGCAATCCTCCTCCTCACGCCCCAGCCGCCGCAACTGGCGACACTACGGGCGTCGGGGATCAAGGGACGATATCCGGCCACCGTAAGCACGGGTCTGCGGTCGGCGAGTAAGGGCAGCTCGCCGCCCGACCAGAACCAGGCCCGAGCGTACGGCGCGTAGCGTTCCGCGCGCGCCTCAAAGAGCCAATAGACCACCACAGACGGGGCCCTAAATGGCTGATGTTCAGCCGCGGTTGCGGGGTAAGCGCAATGAGGCACCGCGACCTCGGCCCGGAGCAGGAGAAGGAACAGGGGGTTTTTAGTAAGTAAGAGTCTGACACTCCCTCCCGCCCAGGGCCGGGTGGGAGGGAGTGTCAGACTACAGAGACTACAGAGAGTGTCACAAAAAAAAGCCGCCTTAGATAAAATATCTACTATATTGATACACATTTTGTCTATAATTTCCTTTTGACTCGATAAATTACAATACTTACCACTACAATATCTCCTTTCCGATATCTTTTACCAAAAACAGATTGAGATTGAAACGTGTGCGTGTGTTTCAAACGTGAATCCAAGCGACACAATCTATTTTCTATTGTGTCTTATATACTTGGACTTACCAACCGACATTCAACCGGCTGAATGTAAGACTAAGACTGACACAACTCCCTATAAAATTTATATATAAATTATGGTTGTTTAGATATAGGGTAAACACCCCAATACGGTTGTTTCCAACTAGTCAAATTCAATACTTTTATCCAAATGTCAAAAACGATACTTTTCTATGAAAATTGTATGAAACATTGAATTATGACGTCATAGCATTTTTGCGTCAAATAGCTTACTTATTTTTAAAAAATTAGCTAAAAAATATCTAAAACTTAGTGTATCGATCGATCGATGAATAAAAGTATAGTTATTTTTCAATATTTTATCGTATTAAAACGTCGAATTAATTTATTTTTGACCTAGGAAACTACCCAATTATGGATAGCTTAAGAGAAAAAAATGGTATTTGTGAAATTTTACCAATATTGTGAAAGTTTCAATACTGAACATGCCTAAAATTTAAGAAGAAGTTGGAACCCATCGTTAAGATTGGCCAGCTCGAAGTTCTGACCTCAGTCCAATTGAGCATGTAGCTTATTGTTTAGGCGTGTACAGCGGTTTTAAAGAATCTATCGTATTTTTTTCTTTTAATTGCCCGAGTTCACTTGACGCGCATTAATTTACACTATTATATTATAAGTACAGACTACATCAAAGGAATAAATTTCATTTAATTTACTCAAATCGACCTTAAAACGTATTTTTTTGTAAATCCATGTAACCACATAAACTCTTTTACATTTTATATCTAAAAACATATTTTCTTGTCATTGTTTCAGCTTCGATGATAACCGTATATGTAGATTTGTATTTTTTTTGTCATGGGAAAATCATGGAATGGCTTCTCCTACCCGGGGTAAAGCGAAAGAAAGTGTCAGACTCTTACTGACTAAAAACCCTCCGTTCCTCCTCCTGCTTTAGGCGGAGGCCGCGGTGCCACATTGCGCCTACCCCGCAGCCCGCAACCCCGGCTGAACATGACCCCTGTAGAGCGCCGTCTGTGGTGGTCTATTTGCTATATGAGGCGCGCGAGGAACACTACGCGCTCGGGTCACTACTCTTAGGCTACTTAAGTATATTGGAAAAAAATTCGTTGTATGTATGTATAGTAAAATTTATCACAATAAAATACATTAACTTGGCTACCATCATATTTGCACACACACATTTTTAAATAAAATTAAGATATCATCGACGCGCGAGACTTTTGCAGTGTCAGTTTAAAAATACAAAAGGAACGATATTTAAATAAGCTTATGACTGCACTGGTTAGCGCGGTGGCTGGGTAACTGGCTGCCCAGGAAAAAAACATAACAAAAAAATTGTAGAATTTACCAAACAAATACTTCCTATTCAACAAAAAGCTAATTCTATAGGGGTGCGAAGGGGTTCGCTTTAAAAAGCAATTATCAGTCTATTCTATAGGTACACCTATAGATAACAATCAGGATAAATAACACTTGGGCCGCAAAAAAAAAATACCAGCGTTCATTGCTATAAAAAAAGGTGATAGACAAAGTGAGTAATTAACATACAAACTAAAAAGATAAATGAACAGTTTACAAAATACTCTTGCAATAAAAATCAATTAGTTAAGTTTGCCAGTCACCCCCTACCTGTTTGCCGGGGTTGCGGGGTAAGCGCAAAGAGGCACCGCGACCTCGGCCCTGAGCAAGAGAAGGAACAGGGAGGTTTTTAGTCAGTAAGAGTCTGACACTCGCTACCGCCCGGTCCTGGGCGGGAGAAGTCATTTGATGATTTTCCCCTCACCAAAAAAACCCTACCTGTTTATCCGTATAAAGCAATACTACTTAGTCCTGGGGCCAATAGTATTCAATAGTTATCATGTCGACTATTCAGTCCACGGTGTATTGTGCCCAGCTTTTGAATTGGAGGATTGGGTCCTACTGCCACCCCTTCGTATTATCTTTTTACTATTATCATTTATCTATTTTGCTATTAGTATTTTGCTTATTTTTTTCTCTCTGTACTTAAACCTTTTAAATCATCAAACCCCAAGCGAACGCCGAAACCAATTATTTTTCTATTTTGTCTCAAATTGCTACAATTGATAAGTTTACTTTTATTATGATATTGAAGGTAAGTATCTGTTTTTTTTTTATTTCTGGCGTTCATATACTGTGCCGAATAAACGCATTTTTCTTTCTTATCTTTCTTTCCTTAGCTATAACTATAATTTTAATTTTTTACAACATTTAACATTATTTATAATAACCGGTGTGATTAAAATTGGTAACACAACATAGCGCATATAACAATATAGTATAGTTAATTGCCTGCGATAATAATTATGTGCCATCACATTTTTTAAACACTCCTAGAAAACCTACAAACGACTGGACTATAAAGTCATATTTTTATTTTTGAATAGATAGACTGATAAACTCTACATAAAAACCAATGAACGGTTACTCATTCAAAATATCTAGATATTTATTATTTTGTGCAAGAAGAGCTTGCGAAAATGGTAGTGGTCAAAAGCCGGTCAGGATTCATAGATGGTATCACCAGCCCACCAGGTAGGACCATAGATTCTGAACTTTACTGAGAACAACTGATTAGATTAAAGCAAGAATTTGAGAGGGGTGTTATTTTTTCATCGTGTAACACTAGACCTCACTCATCTTTAGCCACTCAGCAAGAATTAATAAAGTTTGGCTAGGAGGTGTTAATGCATCCACCATAATTATTGTCCAGACCTTAATTTGCACCTTCAGATTACCACGTGTCAGGTTGTTGTCAGGTTAACATCACGAAAGGAAAAACCAAAGTACCGAAACCACTTATTGCGGTATTTTGATCTGAAGTCCCATAATTTCTATAGCAATTGGATTATGTCCCTACCTACAAGATGACAAAAAGTAATCAAACAAAATGATGCTTAAACACCTGATTTAAAGGTAAATAAGCTACATAAAAAAAAACTTAAAAATTGCGAAGATACTCCTTTCCCAGCCTATTATCCTAGAAATAAATAAATATCTTGTTTCAACAAAGGGAATAAGTGTTACAGTTACACTGCCCAAAACTAGATGGCGCTGTTCCCAAAATAAAACGAATGCTTCCATAATTTGCTTCCAGTGCCGCACAACTCCATTAATTTATATAAAATTTAACAATTTCATAGTAAACTACACTGTTTTATTATAATTAAAAGAAAAAAATATTCTTATTTAACTGAAATAAATGGAAAAACAGAAAAATCCTGCATCGCACTATTAAAGTATGTGGCACGGTTCGAACATGTAAAAAAACATTTTAATAGGTCATGGGGTCCGTTTCTACGCAGTGAAGTAGTACCCGGGGTGGAGCTACTCTAAATCCACCCCACTCTGAAGCTTCTGCCCAGACAGATTTGCCGAGTTCGATGCCGCTTGACGGCGAGAGGATATACAAAATCGCGGCTAGCCCATGGCCGCGTAATCGTGAAGGAAACGCTATGTCGTTACAGAGATTCTTTGAGTCCACAGAGGTGAATTCCTCAACCCCACTGTCGTAGAAAATTTGACTCTCTTTTGCTGTTTTATTTTATAAAAAATATTTTAATAAATTTCTAATAATTATATTGTAAATACATACAAATATATGAAAATAATTATTTTACGGGTTTTAGCGTAATTATGTTACTATAGTAAAGGTCTCGTAAAATCGTATCGTTTGTCAGTAAGATGTTTTTTTTCTATGGGTTTGGTCGGAAACGAGCATACGGATATTACCTGATTGTAAGCATTCGGCGCTGCCCATGGACACCAGCAACACCAAAGGAGTTCCGAGTGCGTTGCTGACCTTTTGGGGATAAGAGTACCTAATGGATATTTAAGGATTGGGAAGGGATGGGAAGGGGGGGAGGGATTGGGCCTCCGGTAACCTCACTCACACGGCGAAGCCCAATGTTTTGGTTGTTTGTTTCACGCCGGTTTTCTGTGAGGCTGTGGTTTCACTCCGGTAGAGCCGACCTATAAGTGCCGAAGCTTGGCTCTCCCACACTTAAAAATTTGCTTATCCTTATAATAATTATATAAACTACGTTGTATGAATTTTGTGGTTTCGGAGGTACCTACCTACCAATAAAAAAGCAAAAACTTCAAAAAACTGTTAAAATATAATGGTGTAAGTAATTATACTAATCACCAGTTAAAAATCTTATATTTTACTTACAACTTAAGAAACAATGGTTATTCACTATTTCAATATAAGGTACAAAGCATCTAAAAAAACCTTTTAATCACATTATTATATAACGTACCAACCCAAAAGAACAGTAAAAAAAAAAAATAGAAAAACCTTTTTCTTAGATAATTCTACAAACTATAATTTATATTTCTTTTTTTCAACATAACGGTCTATTTTTTTTTATTGATCCTATCCTATTTGTCCTATTAGTTAATCTGTGACGCAGTTTCAAATATAAGTATCTACATCTTCATTTGGCTACCGACGTAAAGAGTAATTTCCGCGAATTTTCCCTCCATGACCGCGCGCGACGTCGTCGCGATGATTCATCTCGGTCGCGGGTTGAACTCTCTGACAATAGTTTGTACAGTCTGTGCTCATTCGTGCGGCCGAGCGCGCGCATTTCGGATTTCGAACGCGACAGCGCGTCTTTAACTTCGAATAAACAAAAAATAAAAGACGCCATTTTTTTAACAACGTTAAATACCTTTTTGTTATTTTAACCACAGTTTTAATTAACCATGAGAACCATGGCTAGTGTGTGTTTCTTGGTGATTATGCTCGTTTTTGTACAAAATGTTTTCGGAAATGTATGTACGAAGAATGAAAATAGTTTAACTTGCGATGAATGCATCAGGTGCGGCGGTGAATGGTGCAGGGAACGTAAGGTAAGTGTATTTTTTTTTATTATAATGAATAAATTAGGGCGAAACCGGTCACACATACACGTGATCTTAACTTTTCGGAATGATTCGACAAAAAAAAACAATATTCAATAATAAATTAAATATGCTTAGGTTGGTACCCGAAGTACAAACTACATTTATAACTATATTTCTAGACAAAGGTACCCTACCTGCTCAAAAATCCTCTTTGCACAAAAATAATTAAATTCTTATTTATTGTATCGAAGTACTTCTGATTCGTAAATATGCGAACTTATTATTCCAAACGCACGATGTATTGATCAAGGTTCCCATTAAAAATTCTGGACTAGAGTTCTGTAACCTCTAGCTATCCATCAAACCATATTAATTTGCATGCTCCAAACCTTATCGTACTTCGGCCCTAATTGAGAATAAACGTGTATTAATTGCCAAGAAACATTAAGAAACCAATCAATAGTAGAATGTCATAAGTATAACAAAGTCTGCCTTTTGTACCAACTTCTTGTCATTTTGTGTAAATCTTCTTAAACATAAAAATTAATTACTTACTGTTCGTTAGCCCAGCTAAAACTCGAGAACGGCTGGTTCGTTTTGGATAATATGTATTGGTTTTAAAACGTTCGTTGAAGTATAGGGAAGATTTAAAAGGTCAGAACATTAGTCATATTTCAGGCAATACGAAGTTTGCCGGGACAGCTAGTTAAAAGCATAAATAAATATATGTATAAAAATTGTAAAAACATTACCTCATTTTATTTACAGTCAAAGTAAATAATCTTTGGATTACTTATTAATTTCTATCTATTTCTTTTGTTATTTGTATAACAAAACTTAGGGTATTTTATAGACATTAGTATTTTTTATTAAAAATCTTTACACATAAACCTGCGTTTTCTAATAGAAAATAGCCAAATAAGTATGTTTTATTACTTTTCTTAAAGAAAATTTCCTTAGAGGATTAATACAACTAGTTTTTATGAAACAGCTGCGTATTGGTACTTAGATTCTGATTACCAACTATTTTATTGTAATAAATAAAGCAATTACGTAGTAAACTTTAATTACGTCATTAATAATGAAGTCTCCTCTCCAATTAATAAATAGGATATCATTAGGATATTTTCTTACTAACGCAATACTTGTAAAATACCTATTATTTTCATTACCATTATTTCTTCAATCTTCTCACTCTTCCCTGCAAATTTCAATGCAATCAACTACCTACATAACTATAAAATGGAAAATAAAAAAAAACGACAGCAAAAAGGTCAACTTACGACATGACATCGACATTTGAAATGGAACAATAAAGAAAGATAAAAGAAAAAAGAAGATGCAGTACGCCAGGGTGAACGGAAGGAAACAATTGATTCAATGAACGCACTTACTGACCGACCGACAAGATCTATTTTTGATCTTAGCGTACCTGCCTTAAGTGAATTATGATCAACGGACAGTAGTTAAAAGATAATTTGTAAAATGAACTTTAAGGACACAATACCATTCTAAATTTAAAAAATATTCCCAAACTGGCTTTTTCCCGCAACTTGACTTCCTGCAGCTTTTTGGTAAAAACTGTCCTATGTCCTTTCTCGAGTTCCAAATTTCACAGAAAAAGGTTAAGTAGCTTAGGCGTGATCAAAACAGTTTCTTCATCAGTAATAACATTCTATTACTGTACAATAAGACTTCTTTACATGCACCATGGCTCCGATCTGGAGCAGGAGACAGAAAGGGGTTGTTTAATTAGTAAGAGAGTGACCCTTCTCCTCTCCCCACCCAGGTATAGAGAAGTATTCGATAATTGATTCCTCAAAAAGAGCCTTCTTTACGTAAGTGAGGTTTGCCCTAATATTCACGCTCAGCAAGCGAATTGGATATCACAATATATTGTCAAATTTATTACGGAGCTCTGTCTTAAAATTTCTATTCAGTACCCATGAGAAGAGTTAGAATGGTGTTAAACGTGGTATACTTTAACGTCACCACCACGAGACGGCAAGAGCACTTTATTAGTCAAGTAGCCCTTAGAAAGAAAGGAAATGTTTGTTTGTTGTGTAGGAGTTCCAATATTTGTAACTACACCGCGTGCCAATGACCTTTATACTCAATTTGTACTGGCAGTGGCACTGATAGTCACACAAATATTTCATTGATAAAACTTAAAACTTTAAGACACTAGACCTTTTATTTATGGTCATATTAGCTGATATAATTATTCATACCGTCACGGACGCACCTAGTAGAGCTACTTAACGTTTTTTAATTTATAAATTTTTACGCGATACTTTCTTTGGAGATACAATTTAAATTTCATATTAAACTATGAGACCTATCGAAATGCCTACTGCTAATAATATATTATGACAACAGGCCAATTAGATACTACATTGTATTTGCTTCAACTCATCGCAGAAGAAAATAACTGCGAATGCCATTCAAATCAAGAGTAAAGATTATTCACAATCATGACTCTTAGAACAGCATCGTCCCATTAAAATGCAAATATGTGAAGTAATTCTCGAACCCACACGTTTATGTACACTAGATGCATAAAGGATATGGTGTTATGTAAATATCTACATACTAATGCGTCAGTGTACATTTAGCGAACTTGAGTTTATTTTGAAAATAACCATTATACTACGAAATGGCTGCGGATATGACAGAATTAGTGGCTCAAACACCTCGCCCTATAAGTGAGCACTCATGTTCAAAATAAATTCATTAAAAAAAGTATTAGTACACTTTTCAGTCAGTTCTTCTCTCCTGAGATTAAAGTAAATAGAGTCTAGAATCATTACAAAGATTAACAAAAAGCCTAGTTGAGTTTTCTTTTCTCTCTTCTTATACAAAGTGATATAAGACAACTATAATGTTAACAATAAATAAGTAGGTACATTCTCACACATACGCAGCATATATGTATTATATTGCGTTCCTCATAGATTTTAGCAGACACTTTTGCAATACTTCGGTTTTCATGTTGTCTTACGGAACTCGAAGGAAGTCTAGGGATGAAGACTAGAAAACTCTAGCTACCGTCAGTACTCAGCCATTTTCTGTAATTGTTTGTAGTCTAGACCCACTCCACCATATTACTACAATTATAGGAGTGGTACATCGATCATATAGCATAGCATAGGATACCCTTTATTGCGAGATCGAGTCTAATCGATCAATGTACGCTCCTGCCTAGCGGTGCAAACATTTACAAAGTAGGATACCGGTTTGTTTTTTTATGGGGAAAAAATATCAAGTGGCTTTTCCTGCCCTGGATGGGGTCAGAAGGTCAGACTCTTACAAACTAAAAACCGCCCCGTTGCTTCTCCTGATCCGAACATACCGAAGCATTACTCTCCCACACTTAACTACAATGAACAATAAATTCTAATCGATAGAAGTGGAAACAGATTTAATAGGTTCTGTGAACATTTAAAACACAATAATTAATCGCGTAGATTAAGTATTTCTACGTAATCACATCTCAATACAATGGCAATCAACACCTAAGTGTTCTTACAACAAAAATGGTAACATTTTTATGATAAAAGTCCTTTCAACAAATTCTGGGTACAAAAACGTTATCTTATCAAATAACTCAACGGTCGAACTTAAAAACTGTGAACATTTTTGCTGAACGATTGACTTTAAACACCCACTTAAAATTCCTGGCTGTCTGGTTGAGCCGCTGTAAGCAGGACTTAAGTTCCTATATCCCCTAAGTGGGACAGAGGGCTTCCACAGTATTTTTCCATTTGGACCTATCTTGGGCTATGTGCTTAATTTCGGACCAGGAAAGTCCTATCCTCTTTATTTCCGCCGCCACTGTGCGCCGCCACGTTTGCTTAGGACGGCCAACTTTTCGCCTGCCTTGTGGTGTCCACAGGTATTGTAAGCAGGACTACTGATCAATTGCTAAAGAGTTCGAATTCTATTTGTCGTCAATTAAGTAATTATAATTAATCAATGACGTACCCTCGGTTTTTCGAAATTGTCTAACAATAGATTAAGATTACAATCCAGTAAGCTACAGAGGATTCTTACTAGTCTAGTAATATATACTATATATAATGATATATCCTATAGTCTACTACTTATACTTATTAGGTACTAATTCTCTACCCAAGAAACGAAAGTAATAAGTTCAGTTCAACCCAAACTATTTTATTCTTTCTTGCAAACGTATAGAGTTCAGATTCTTTCAAATCAATATTGCATACCTACATATAAGTAAATATAAAATCTTCATTAAACTGACAATACACAATCAAGTGAAGTGCCAGGGAATAGCGATCGATACACGAATTTCCTGAGCTACCCCATTTTCCAATATCCGCTCCTCAGAACAAACTACTTATAGGTAGTATAAAAACTAACAACTAATCACATTTCGGGATAAAAGTATACGTTTTAATACCCTTACTTGCAGTAATACGCTTTTAATAATTATGTATCTATTTAAATAACATATATACATAGATACATTTGTCGACAAAATAAGAAAGAAATGTTCATGAAAATAAATGTGTTGCAAACTTGCAACATTCATTCGCATAGCAATAAACTTCTAACTGCAAACTTGTCGCCACCCGGACTGAGACGAAGTAATGACGTCACATTCGTCACAAACACACTCCAAGTCTAGTCTAAACCATTATGAGTTACACTGTCTTTCCAATCAATACAAAAGCCATGAACCAGTCATGTGACTTCAACACCAATGAATCACGCTCTCATATTCAATCATTGTTATTTTTACCATAAATGCTTTAAACTTGGCTCTCTGCCATTCATATCCTTTTGTAAGAGAAGTGCAGAGTAACTGCATTCATATTTAACTGCCAGATAATACAGTAACGGAACAAAATTATATGTACGTACACCAGCAAAGCAGACGGAATGGCGTTACGGTGCAATCTAGATAAATGAAACGTATTGCTTTTCAACTTAATGATAAGGGAATGTGGATGGATCAGGACAATGAGAAACTGGTTTTG